ATCTATTTTTTTCTCCCAAAGTCTTGCTTTTGTTGCCTTCAAGAAATATCCAGATTGTGATTCCTTTTTTTTTTTTTACTTCTGCCCCATGATGAGTGAATTAAATCCAGGAGGAGCCATCTGTGACCATCTACCTATCTAAGTTGTGAACCATCTACTTTGGCCTTCTCATTGCTCATGTGAAGCCCTGTCATGAGGGTGAGTCATGGAAAGGGATTCTTGTCCCACAGTATCTCCTCTTGTGTCCTCTTGTTACTTCTTATTTGAGAAAAAGAGGATAAGAGAAAAATCTCAAGATATTACATATTAAGTTAGTGATAACAAGAGTCAAGGCTCAAGCTTTCCTTGCATGAAAGGCTTCAACTTGGGTGGACATCCTATCAAATCAGGTTGAGCCCTCCCTGGGGACACATTCACCTCATATCTGGAGTGTGGTTTGAGTCCCGGCTACTCTGTTTCTGATCCAGCCTCTGCTGATGCACTTAGGAAAGCAGAGTGATAGCCCAAGTACTTGGGTTCCTGCCACCCATGTGGGAGACCAAGTTGTTGGCTTTGGCCTGGTTCAGTCTTGCTGTTGCAGGCATTTGAGAGAAGTGAATTAGCAAATGGAAGATCTCTCTCTTGGTCTCTTACTCTCTGTCACTCTATCTTTCAAAATAAATAAATCTTGGAAAAAAATAATGATAGCCTTAACTGTCACCAGCCAAGTATCTCTCTGTTTATTTACATGTAAGAACTTGAAGATGAAATGAGGAAGAGAAAGAGGAAGTGTTTGGTACAATTCTTTCTTTAAATTAAGAGGTAGTTTCACATCCTAGTAAAAGAGTGTGGGCTCTAGAGCCAGTCAGCCTTGGTCTGAGTCCTGTCAGTAGCCGTGTGACTGTGAGCAAATTCTTTAACTTCTCTGTGTTTTAGTTGTGTTTGTGAGACGGAGATGAAACTAGCATTTGTTCTTACTTTATACTGTTGTGAGGATGAGTTGGTAAATGTAAAGCAATTAAACAGGCTTTTTAAAAAAGAACTTATTTATTTATTGATAGATTTATTTATTTGCAAGAGTTACACAGAGAGAGGAGAGATAGAGGAGATCTTCCATCCGCTGGTTCACTCCCCAAATGGCTGCAACACAGCCAGGAGCTTTCCAGGTCTCCCACATGGGTGCAGGGGCCCAGCACTTAGACCATCTTCTGCTACTTTCCTAAGCACATTAGTAGGGAGCTGGATCAGAAGTGGAGCATCTGGGATTCGAACTGGTGCCCATATGGGATGCTGGCACAGTAGATGGTGGCTTAACTCACTGTGCCACAGTGTTGGCCCCAAAGATTTTATTTATTTATTTGAGAAGTAGAGCCATGGACAGAGATAGAGGGAGAGACAGAGAGAGAGGTTTTCCATCCACTACTCCACTCCCCAAATTGGCTGTAACAGCTGGAGCTAGGCTGGTCCAAAGCCAGGAGCCAGGAGCTTCTTCAGGGTCTCCCATGTGGGTACAGGGGCCCAAGAACTTGTGCAGTCTTCTACTGCTTTCCCAGGCCATAAGCAGAGAGCTGGATTGGAAGAGGAGCAGCTGGGACATGAACCAATGCCCTTATCAGATACCAGCGCCATAGGTGGAGGCTTAGCCTACAACACCACAGTGCTGACCCCTAAACAGTCTTAACACATAGTTCAGTATACAACAAACAGTTCTCTCTTTAAAAGTTTATTTATTTATTTATTTAAAGCAAGTGACAGAAAGGGTGAGAAACAGAGGAAGATATTGAGAATCTTCCATCTGCTGGTTTATTCCCCAAATGCTCACAATAGCCTGGGGTGGACCATGTTGAAGTCTGGAGCCAGGAACATCATTTGGGTCTCCCACATGGGTGATAGAAATTCAAATACTTGGGCCATCACCCGGTATCTCCCGGGTGCATTAGCAGGAAGCTTCTTGGGAAGTGAAGGTGAGACTCGATTCCAGGCCCTTGTACTTGGGATATAGGTGTCCCAAGCAGCAGTTTATCCCACTGTGTCACAACTGTATACCCTAATAGTTCCTTTTTTTTTTAAAACAAGTTTTCAAAGTAGGATATTGTACCATGGTCCTTCTGATGGTAGAAGGGGTTATAATTATTTCAGTGATGAACCATATTTTGTAATTTCACTTCCCTACGTTAGGGCTCCCTTTCTCTGTTGAGAGCTGTTCAGAGGGACAGTGGCTACACATTAAGTGTGCTCAGTGAGCAAGAGCAGTGCTGGAATGAGTCTCAAGCTCTTAGAATGTTAACACTTTATCCAATAAATGAAGTGACAGCAAATGTTATCTGTTCTTTTGTTCCTTTCTCTGCAAGCAGGGTGGTTTATATGTGGGCTAAGACCAGGGGCGTTTATTTTCAGAATAATACACTAGTCTTCAGTATAAATTTCATAAATGATGTTACCTTAAAGCTCTCATGGGAATCAGACTGAATTGGCCATGTAGAAGAGTTATTACCAAAGGTGACTTTTTAAAAATTCAGTATCATTTTTATAGAGGCTACATCACAAATACTTGTAGGTACATTAGTGTTCCTTAATGCTCTTTCTAATACTCAGGAATGTGTAAACAAGGGCAGCAACAGTTAGGTGATAAAAAACAAGGTATTCATGTGTCATGCCTACTAAAAATTGCCAGCAGCATGAACGCTGTAGACCAGGCCAGAAGCTAGGGATAAGTTTAATAGGTTCATTTGTCGGATATCCAGTCTGAGAACAATCAATTGCTCTGTTTTCTTCATCATCTCTTTCTTTAATGTTTGTTTGCTAGTTTGGTTCTTTGTTTTTCTGTTACTCTACACTGGATTATTTTCCCCTCACCAGAACCCCCACCAACTGCATTTTACTATGTCTCCATCAGTACTTTGTCCTTCACTGTGATTACTGAATGTGGAAGAGAAGATAACTAGATCTTTATATTCAAAATTAGAACATTTTCTAGATCTCCCTTTTTCTATTAGGATCAAATATTGTTGTAAATTATCGGGAGCTATGAACTTTTAGTATATCCAGTGGGAATGCTCTGTTGCTCTTTTGCTGGGTAATTTTCCACTGGGCATCGCAGGATAATTAGCATTTCTGGCCCAGTACTACAATACCAGTCATTGTGACCTCCCCTCTGGTTCTGAGCCACTGCCAGCTGCACAAATAGAAGCATATCACCCAAATACTTGACTCAGCTCTGATTATTATTTTTTAAAAAGATTTTATTTATTTATTTGACAGGTAGAGTTACAGACAGTGTGAGAGGGAGAGACAGAGAGAAAGGTCTTGCATCTACTTGTTCACTCCCCAAATGGCTGCAGCGGCTAGAGCTGAGCCTATCCAAAATCAGAAGCCAGGAGCTTCTTCCAGGTCTCCCATGTGAGTGCAGGGGCCCAAGCACTTGGGCTGTCTTCCACAGCTTTCCCAGGCCACAGCAGGGAGCTGGATCAGAAGAGGAACAGACCGGACTAGAACAGGTGCCCATATGTGATGCCAGCACCACAGGTGGAAGCTTAGCCCACCACGCCACAACACCAGCCCCAACAGCTCATTATTAACCATTGTTTATAATTTCATGGAACAACTAAATTGCCAGAGTCTTTACATTTAGAGGAAAGCTAGCTATTAAAACCATTGAAGTTGTGCCCTTCTGAGACTATCCTAGCAACTTTTTATGTATTTATTTTTAATTTATATATTTGAAAAAGTTAGAGAGAGAGGGAGAGAAAGAGTGGTCTTCCATTTGGTAGTTCACTCCCCCAGGTGACTGCAACACCAAGGGCTGAGCTAGACCAAAGCCAAGAGCTTCATCCAGGTCTCCCTTATAGGTAGCAGGTGCCCAAGCACTTGGGCCGTATTTTGCTGCTTTCTCAGCTCATTATCAAGGAGCTGGATTGGAAGTGGAACAGCTAGGATACAAACTGGTCCCCATATGGGATGCTGACATCACAGACAGCAGTTTTACCTGCTATACCACAAAGCCAGCACCGTTTCATTTTTAAAAATATGAAATGTTTGGAAATCTAAGATACCTATTGGTGGATTTTATATATATAAAATATTTTCTTATAAAGATATTAGGTTCTCACATTGTTATTGGTTTATGAAATGAGTATGTGCAAGTAAGCTTTAACTTTTTCAAAGTACTCTTTTTGTTTTTTAAGCTTTGTTTATTTATTTGAAATTAAGAGTTACAGAGAGACAGAGATCTTCTCATTGGCTGGTTCTCTCCTTACATGGCAGCAATGGACAGGGTTAGGTCAGGTCAAAGCCAGGAGCCAAGAGCCCCATCTGGGTCTCCCACATGGGTGACAGGGACCCAAGTACTTATGCCATCTCAGGCCATTAGCAGAGACCTGGGTTGGAAGTGTAGCAGCTGGGACACAGACTGATGCTCATATGGGTGGTGACTTTATCTGCTATGCCACAATGCTGCCCCCCAACCCCCGCCGTGTACTCATCTTTAATTTACAAGATTAAAGTATCTCTTTTTTTAAAATTTAAAAAAAAATTTTTTTGACAGGCAGAATGGACAGTGAGAAAGAGAGAGACAGAGAGAAAGGTCTTCCTTTTGCCATTGGTTCACCCTCCAATGGCCGCCGTGGCCGGTGTGCCGCGGCCGGCGCATCGCACTGATCCAAAGCCAGGAGCCAGTTGCTTCTCCTGGTCTCCCATGCGGGTGCAGGGCCCAAGGACATGGGCCATCCTCCCGGGCCATGGCAGAGAGCCGGCCTGGAAGAGGGGCAACCGGGATAGAATCCGGCGCCCTGACTGGGACTAGAACCTGGGGTGCCGGCGCCTCAGGCGGAGGATTAGCCTATTGAGCAGCGGCGCCGGCCAAAGTATCTCTTTTTAAAAATTATTTTAAAATATAGTAAATGCATATAGAACCCCTTTTACAATGATTTTTGAGTCTGCACATTAATATTGTGATGCTATAGTTTGCTAGTATTATACAAATACTTACATTATGCTTTTTCATAATTCTTTTTTTATTCCAGAGAAAGAGTTATGAAGAAAACAGGGTACACATTCTGTAAAACCAAACAGAAGAGAAGCAGAAAAAGAAAGAAAAAGCAGAACAATGATAGTAAAATCGTAGAAGAAAACTCACTTGAAACTTTAAATTATGTTACACCAGGAGATCAAGACCCATCTCAAAGCGAAGAGGAAGACTTGGGAGAATCAGGATGTCCCTTGACTGGTGATCTAGGAAATGAACTACAAGATTCTGTGAGTGGCTATAAAGAAAAAAGTTGGAAATACACAGATCCTGAAGACAGCTTTCCAAATGTTACATCTGTAATTGAGTTGGACAACACACCAGAAAATCACCTTCCTAAGGAAGGTGATGACTTATTTCCAACTTTTTTATCAATGCCAAATCAAAGTTCTGCTACTTGTCCAACAGGGACTCAAAATCTTTCCTGTGTAACAAGGGATGACTGCTCTGACATGAAGGTGGAAGAGCCTATTGAGAATAGGCACACCCTGGCATCAAAGATCCAGGACCTATTTGCTGAAACCCCAAGCTCATTTATGCAGAAGAGAGAGAGGATAGATAAAAGTCTCCCAAATGAACCAATTCTGTGCCATCAACATGGATCTAGAGCTTTGGATGAAGCTTCAGTAGAGGAACAAAGAGTACATGCAACTCAAACCAATTATTGGGCTTTTTTCACAACTAACTTATCTGATGAATTACAGCAGGGCTCTGATAGACAACCCAATTTTGGTAGCTGGCCTGAGGGACCTCATAAGTTTGTATGTGAGCAGAGAGCAAAGAAACAAAGATCGCGTAAACAGGCCTGCCCTGACAGCAGAGAGCAATTGATTAAATTGATTTCCACTTCTGACGGAGCTTCAGAAACATTGACAGGGGACAATCTACCAGTAGGAAATGAAGATTTGCCACCTCCAACTGAAAGTGTAGGTTCATTCATAGAAACAGAAACCAATGTCTTTATAAGTTGCTCACCTCACCTGGATATCCCAAGGAGTGCCTTAGGATCAACAAAGAATAAGAAAGAGAGACAGAAAAGAATTTTCAGTTTGGCACCAAACTTTCACATACTAGAACAGTGTCATATAGATGAAAAACAAAGAGAGGAATGTGACCTGTTCACCAAAAACCACGGACTAAAAATAATATTGGGAGGAGAAAAAGATAGAATTTCAGAAATGAATAACAAAGAGGAAGATAAACAAAAAATTATAACCTTTGATCATCAACCCTCATGTTTTCACCTTGATGTAATCAAAGATTCCCCTATAAATATTGGTGGACAATTTTATTCTCATTGTCTGTCATTTAGCAGACTAAGAGACTCCGTGTATTTTTACAAAAACCCTGTTCCTTCTCTTGTGCTATACTACATGGTTAGCTCTTGGAAGACACCTTTTACAAACAAGAGACCATTTGTGACTTTCAAATCTCAGACAAGAGTAGGTGATAAACTAAAGGATGTAGGGTTTATTTCTTCCGAAATGTTAAGTAACCAGCCTGAAAGTTTGCACTCTCTGTGGGTCACTTCTGATCTTTACTTTTTAAATGAAAGATTTGGTGAAAAGCTGAAGATATGGGAAGAGTCTAAGCCATTACAGTGCCTACCAGCTGAAGAGATTCAGGATGTAGCAAACCCTGGCTTTCATTCCCTTGGGCTACCATTATCACAAGGATTTGCCTTTCAACTAGTAAAGCTTTTTGGATCTCCTGGAGTTCCAATGGGTAAATTGTTTTTTCATTTTTATGAAAATAAAAAGTCCAGTATAATATATGCATGTAAATTTCTGAGGTGTTTCTAATTGGTCTTAGTGGTTTCATGTGGTTTATTGATCTCATGATGCTTTTCAGCAATGCAAGTAAGGACTCATAGGAAGCAGTACTTAATATTTTTTATTTTTGAAGATTTATTTATTTACTTGAAAGAGTTACAGAGAGACAGAGGAGAGACAGAAAAAGAGAGATATCCTCCATCTTCCTTCTGCCAGTCTAATCCCCAAATGGCCACAATGACCAGGGCTGGGCCAACCTGAAGGCAGGAACCAGGAGCTTCATCTGAGCCTCCCACATGGGCGACAGGGACCCAAGCACTTGGGCCTCCTTCTGCTGCATTTCTCAGGACATTATCAGGGAACTATCTCAGAAGTGGAGCAGCCAGGATACAAATCATATGGCATTGCAGGTGGTGGCTTTAACCAAGATCCATATCCTAGAATTGCAAGGAGAATGTATTGTGTCATTTTGTGCCACTTTTCTGGAAGAAAAGCTCACAGATTTAGTTAGCATCCTATATGGGTCCATACCCCCAAAAGAATAACAATCATGGCCTTAGATTGGCACCAGGAAGCATGAAAGCACTGGTGTGAAAAGATTATAAATTTCCTCCTCTCACTTCCTCCTTTACAGAATTATCTTAATCAACAATGATCAAGCATCTGTTAATTAAGCTTCAGAATGCTTTTAAAAGGAAATAGACCTCATGCATCAAATAATTTATCTTCTAAATGGAGAGACAAGACAAACACAAGACAAAATACAGCAAATAGTAAATATAAATGACGATCTTATGAATATTTTATGAGTAAGATTAGCAGTACTACAGGAGTTGTTGAAAAAAATATAGGGTTATGATTTTTTTGGGATGCTTTCAATACGGAAGTGAATTATAAGCAGTGTTTATACAAGGGATATGTATGAATGTGGCTTGAGGGACTGGCACTGTGTCATAGCAGCCTATATGGGTGCCAATATGACTCCCAGTTGTTCCACTTCCCTGCTAACGTGCGTGGACAAGAAGTGGAAGATGGCCCAAGTCCTTGGGCCTCTGCACCCAAAGTCAGAGACCCAGATGAAGCTCCCAGGCTCCTGGCTTCAGATTGGCCCAACTCTGGCCATTGTGGCCATCTATAGAGTGAACCTGTAGATGGTAGATCTTGTTCTCTCTGTCTCTCCCTTTATCTTTGTGACTCTGCCTTTCAAATAAATAAATAAATCTTTTTAAAAAATGTGTCTTGAAATAAAAGCAAAGGAAAAGGTTTTGCACTTGGAAATAGCATGTTCTTGAAATGGAAAAGGAGGAAGCTGTAAGTGGGGGTGGAAGCCAGTTTAGCTGGATGGCACAAAGCAAGCTCTGGTGTGTGGTTGGCAGTGATCTCAAATGAATTCTAGTGTTAGGTGCTGTGTAGACACAGAGGGATTTTAGGTAGGGCCATATATATGCCTTAAGAAACTACTCATGATGAGAAGAATACATGAGTATAGGAAATATATTTCTTGAGATTTGGTATAGCTGTGTGTGTATGTTAATGTTTGGACTAGTATATATTTAGATATTATATAAATGCATATATATATGCTTATACTTACATGACAATATAAATTATGATGCATGTAATAGAGTTTTCTTTTCATCTAGATCCCCTTTACTAACAGAGATCTCAAATTCCTACTTTAACATATCTTTAAGACCAAACTTTTTAAAATAATTAATTAATTAATTTTTAAGGAATACAAATTTCATAAATACAACTTTAGGAATATAGTTATTCTTCCCACCATGCCTGCTCCCATACTCACACTCTCACCCCTCCTACTCCTCTCTCTCCCCTTCCCAGTCCCATTCTCCATTAAGATTTTCTTTCTTTTTTTTTAATTTGACAGGTAGAGATAAAGATAGTGAGAGAGAGAAACAGAGAGAAAGGTTTTCCTTCCATTGGTTCACTCCCCAAATGGCAGCTATGGCCAGTACTGCGCTAATCCGAAGCCAGGAGCCAGGTGCTTCTTCCTGGTCTCCCATGCGAGTGCAGGGGCCCAAGCACCTGAGCCATCCTCCATTGCCCTCCCGGGCCACAGCAGAGAGCTGGACTGGAAGAGGAGCAACTGGGACTTGAACCCAGTGCCCATATGGGATGCTGGCGCTGCAGGCAGAGGATTAACCAAGTGAGCCACAGCACTGGCTCCAAGATTCATTTTCAATTAACTTTGTACACAGAAGACCAACTCTATACTGAGTAAAGGTTTCAACAATTCGCACACACCTGCCCACAAACAAAAAAACTGTTGGAGAACTACTTTTACAGTTAATTCTCATAATACAACTCACTGAGGACAGAATTCCTGCATGGGGAGTTAGTGCACAGTGACTCCTGTTGTTAATTCAAAAATTAATACACTTATGTATGACATCAGTGACCACCTGAGGCTCTTGGCATGAGCTGCCTAGGCTGTGGATTCCTTTTGAGTCCACAAACTCTGTCAGTATTTAGATAAGGCCATAAACAAAGTAGAAGTTCTCTCTCCCATCAGAGAAAAGTACATCCTTCTTTGATGGCCACTTCTTTCTACTGGGGTCTCACTCAAAGAGATCAGAGATCCTTCATGAGGAACATTTTTTGCCACAGTGTCTTGGCTTTCCATGTCTGAAATGCTCTCATGGGCTTTTCAGCAAGACCAGGAAGCTTTAAGTGCTGATTCTGAGGGCAGAGTGATACTTAAAGTGATTGTCATTCTATGAGTGTTCTATGTGGACTGCTCCCCATGTCAGAACATTCTTTCCTTTTTAATTCTATTATTATTACCTGACACTTGATCCTATTTATATGATCATTTTAACACTTAATTCTACCTATATGTTCACTTTAATACTTAATATAATCACTTTAACAATTAAGATGGCATTTCTACCACGCGTCTTAATGGGATTGGGGTCCTATGACAAGTTTTTAAACTGTACCTTGGAAGTAAATCCATAGGAATGTATACAGAACTATACAGCTTTATGGTTACAAACTTCCTCCTCCTTTTATTCCCACTCTTCTTTTTTACTGAGATCCATCCTCAATTGACTTTATACACATATGCTTAACTCTGTTAAGTAAAAAGTTCACCAAATATTATTTAAAAAACAAACATAAAAACCTGTTCTTCAACAGCCAGACAAGGGCAGCTCAAATCATCCCTTCTCAAAGTGTCAATTTAACTTCTGCAGATGTTGTTTTAGGTGCTCTCTTAGTTCTCACAGATCAGGGAGAATATATGGTATTTGTCCCTTTGGAAATGACTTATTTCACTAAGACCAAACTTTTAACATTACAGTGGTTTAGGTATCATGTTTGCATATTTTCAAATTTAGGGTGAAATTCTGTGTGCTGTTATAGATAAGATTTTTTCCCAATATTTTTCACAGAATCACTGCTGCCTGATGACTATGTGATCCCCCTTGACTGGAAGACACTCAAGATGATTTATTTGCAGTGGAAGGCATCAATAGAGGTACATTTTTATTGATTAAGAAGAATGCCTTTATTATTGTTTTTTTTTTTTTTAAAGATTTACTCATTTATTTATTTGAAAGGCAGAGTTACAGAGAGGCAGAGGCAGAGAGAGAAAGAGAGAGCGAGAGGTCTTCCATCTGCTGGCCCACTCTCCAAGTGGCCACATCGGCTGGAGCTGTGCCTATCTGAAGCCAGGAGCCAGGAGCTTCCTCCAGGTTTCCCAGTGCAGATGCAGGGGCACAAGAACTTGGGTCATCCTCCATTGCTTTCCCAGGCCACAGCAGAGAGCTGGATCAGAAGTGGGCAGCCAGGAAGTGAACCAGTGCCCACATGGGAGGTCAGCACTGCAGGCGGCAGCTTTATCCACCATGCCACAGCACTGGCCCTACCTTTATTATTTTTTAAAAATTTATTTTTATTTATTTGAAATGCATAATGACAGCGGAGGGAGAGGCAGGTAAAGAGATCATCCAAGGGGCAGCACTGTGGCACAGGAGGTTAGAGCCCCTGCCAAAAGTGCTGGCATCCAATATGGGCGCTGGTTTGAGTCCTGGCTGCTGTACTTCCAATCCAGTTTTCTGCTATCACCTGGGAAAAGTAGTAGAAAATGGCCCAAGTCCTTGGGTCCTTTCACCTACGTGAGAGACCTGGAAGAAGCTCCCGGCTCCTGACTTTGGATTGTCTTAGCTTGAGCTGTTGTACCTATTTGGGGAGTGAACCAGAGGATGGAAGACCTCTCTCTCTCTCTCTCTCTCTCTCTCTCTCTAACTCTGTCTTTCACATAAATAAAAATAACTTTTTTTTAAAAAATGTTGATTTATAAAAGAAATAAAAAAGATTATCCATCTATCGTTTCACTCCCCAAATGGCCATAACTGCTGAGACTGGGGCTGGGCCAAGCTGAAGCCTAGAGCCAAGAACTCCATCCGTGTTTCCCCTGTGGGTGGCAGGGGCCCAAGCACTTGAGCCATCCTCCACTGCTTTCCCAGGCACATAAGCAGGGAGCTGGATCAGTAGCAGAGGAGCTAGGTCTCGAATTGGCATTCCCATATTGGATGCTGGTATTGCTGTGCCACAACACCAGCCCCTAACTGTTACTTTAAAAGTAAGGTTGGAGAAAATTTGTTCATCAAACTTAACAGGGTGGTGCTATAACACTGACATTAAATTAGAAAAGGGATGTACATGGATGGATGCATAATAGATGTGAGTTTTCTTTCAATTAGTCCCAAAAAGAAAGTTTCATTTAATTCTCTACTTTTGTTGCAGTTTATGCAAGTCTAGGGGCCCACTGTGGGTGACTGAGGTGACCATTTTAGGAAGATCATTTATTTAATATCATCTTTTGTCTAGCCCTCAGTCTTATCCTGTTATGAGAGAATAACAGCTACAAATTAGGTTCATATTTACTTGGCTAGGAATACCTCATTATAGATGCAATATGTTGATTCATAGTGAAAGATATGACTGCTTGAAGGACTATTCATTTTCCCAGTAGCTGGAATACTGACTTGGATAGTTAGAAAGATGATAGCTAGGAGGCTGGTGCTGTAGTGTAGTGGCTAATGCTGCCACTTGCAGTGCTGGCATCCCATATGGGCACTGGTTCAAGTCCTAGATGCTCCACTTCTGATCTGCTATGGCCTGAGAAAGCAATAGAAGATGGTCCAAGTCCTTGGGCCCCTGCACACCCACATGGGAGACCCAGAAGAAGCTCTGGCTCCTGGCTTCCAATAGGCCCAGCTCCAGCCGATACTGCCATCTGGGGAGTGAACCATCGAATGGAAGACTTCTTCCTCTCTGCCTCTCCTTCTCTCTCTGTGTAACTCTGACTTTCAAATAAATTAATAAATCTTAAAAAAAGAAAGAAAGAAAGAAAGATGATAGCTAGAACTCTGGAAAGCCTACCCAAAACATAATGGGAGGGAGTGGCTGGGGTTTTGTTCATGTTAATTGATAGTGATTTAAATGAGACCAGGGAGAATGCTAGGGGTACATCTCGAGAAAATAATAATGAGTTTAGTGAAATGTTCTGGTCTTGTATTTTAGAACAGTAGTTATTTCTTAATTGTTCATATAAGTAGAGCTGTGGGAAGAGTAGACTGGTTGGTGTGTCCACAGAGTAAAACCCAGTACACATTTTCTAACTTATTTCTCCTCTTTCCCATGGAGACCTTATTCCTACACACATGCATACACACACATAATCAGTTTACACTTAGGCACACAATCAGCAATACCTTAAATGTTCCGATTGACATTTAATTCCCTAACTTTGTTGTGGTTGTAATATTTCTTTTGTTGTTTTAGGAGTGTTCCTATATGAACAGTGCAAGCTTAATCCTACTGCCAAACAGTAATCATTGTTTTATGTATTTTCATTATAATTTCTAGAAAAGACAGAAGAAGATTGATTAAAAAATGAGAATTCTTTGAAATGTAAGTACAACTTATTCTCAAGATCTCTGTATGATAAGGAGGAACTGAATGTTGACAGTATTTGGTTGTTATAGCTCATAGGTACCACAACTGAAAAATAAAATATAAAAAAAATGTAGCTTGTTCCCATGGCAACCCTATGTACTATTGCACATGTGATTTTTTAAAATTTCCTTAAAACGTAGATAATTTTGTGAGCAATAAAGCCTAGATTGTAGATCCCAAATCTATGTTACCACTTGATTGTTTAGAACGTATTTTAGAGCTTTCTGCCAAAACACAATATAGGGGAGATTTTCCCCTTAATATATGATGAGGGCTGGGAAATAGAGATGTAGGCTCTGTTTAAATACTCTGTTAAAAGATTATCCAGGAAAAGAGGTAAAACATATCAACAAATTCATGTTATATTATCACTTGACATTAAGCTGACATTAAAATAAACACATTAGACTTTTCCACCAAATGCCTAAATTTTGAAAATAAACACAGCTGCTACAATTTCAGGGTATATGTTTCTGCATTTGATAAGAATTGAATGCACTCTGCTTTTACCATATGTTTTCTCTCTTCATTTGAACTCTTATTTCTAAGAATACCCTGTTTCCATTTCCCAATTAGAAATACATGTATACTTAGTAAAAAATATTTTTGTTTTAAATCTGCTTCTGCTGAAAGGAGGGGAGATGAACAGATCTGGGAGAAGGGTTTCGAGATTTGGAAGGATCATTAGAAAATACAGAATGAATATGGTCTAGGAAGAGCTAAGAGGCCATGAGGAGTCCTGGAGAAAGGAGGTGAAGACACTTATTCATTTGTCCAGCTAAATTTATTGAATATCTCATGGCAGCCATCGCTCTGCACACTGAGGATACGAGCAGTGAAAACCTGGCTGCCCTTGTGGCGTCTGTGTTCTAGGAACTGAAGTTGGGAAGAGAATGCATTTCCTTTCTCCCATGTAGTAGGATGCCAATATAAATAGCATGCCACTAGCATGGATGCATGTAGCTGTGGCCCACTCAGGAGTCTCTGTCTGCTAAATTTGGGTGTTTTGTGTCAAGGACACTTTTGGGGCCATAATATTGGTCTTTTCACAAAGCAGTTTGTCCCTAATTATTACTCTCATCTTGTCAGGCATTTCATGATTGTTGAAGTTATATGCAGACTTTTTTTTTTCTTTAGAATTATATTAAAAAAGGGCCTTCTTGTAGCGTATTTGCCATAAGGTACTGACCCATGTGGCCCAAGAAGTAAACAGACATTTTTAAAAAGAAGAAACTGGCAGGAGAATCTCTTTGGCTCTGGGAACCACATGGCCCTGCCTGTTTTAAAAGTTGCCAGGCATTTAATATTGCTGTTCTCATTTGTGGAGGTGGAGTAGAGTTTGAGAAACAGGACCAGTTCTGGTCTTAAATTTTTACTGCCTGGCTTTGTGACCTTAAAGCAATTACCTTCTCTGAGCCTTAGTTTCTTTACCTATAAAAAACAAATTTATAATACCAACCTGTCATGGGGATATTAAATAAAGATTAAATGAAATAACCTATGCAGAGTACTTAGCATAGTGCTTGAACAATAATAGACTCTAATTAAGACTTAATTCTCTTCTCTTAAATCCCTCCTTGGGCTAAAGCATTGCCTTTGAGATAACCCCTGGCAAAGCAGAAATTGTATTTCTAGAAGAGGAACATATTGTTAACACATTGCATTAATTAGTATATTTGTTATTAACTTTTGTGATGTAAATAGCTGGATCCTTAGGGAATGAGATAGAACAAGTTTTAATTAGGGACAGGAAGTTGGGAAATGTTTGGGGAATGGGCTCTTGCATGAGGTAGGACAGGCAGAATGTGGACTGAGGGAATAATGCTAAGAGGAGTGACAAAACTAGGGCAAAAAAGACTGGAAACCTGGGAAGACTGTTTCATCCGGATTTGCCTGGGCTTGTGTTTGCTTGTAGTTGAGTTCTGCGGTCTTTCAGAGCTGCTGAAGATCCAGATCATCGTGAAAATTTGTCAGATGCTCAGTGCCCACCAAGGGAGCCTCTCAGGATATACTTATTGGACACCAAAATTAGTTTGGATAATCTGTTAACCATTGTTGATAAGTTACCTGAATAATAAAAAAACTCAACGGAAGAGGTAACAATTTGTATGTTTTATTGTCTAATTTTGAAGATGTTTGCCATAACTTTAATTTATTTCATAGAAGAAAATCAGGTACCAGTAAATCTGAGTGGCCAGTTTTTAAAATTGCATCAGCATCAGAAGGGTAGGCCTGTTGTGGGTGTGGAGGACAGGTTCTTGGAACCTCCAACAATGAGTTGAATGGAACTCCCACAGATAGCAAGTACAGGCAGCAAAGGTTATTATAATAAACAAAGCATACTCCACAAGGCAAGTGGGAACTGGCCTGTAAAAAGAACTCAGCTTGCGATCTAAGAAAGACTCAGGTCAGAATCTCCTCCCAGGGCCACAAAGCAAAAGTACACGTACTCCATAAGACCATAGGAGCGAGCCTCCGAGAAGAGTTCAGGGCAGTTTGTTTGGACTGTTAGTTTATAGCCGGATTTTTAAAGAGGGGAGGTGGAGTCATTGCCAGGGAGATTTTTGCCAGATATCCTGGGTGTAGGTACGCAGATGTCTTGGGCAGTGAGATATCAATGGGGACTTTGGCTGGTGGTCCTGGGTGGGAGGTGCTGGCATCCTAGGCTGGCCTTTATCTCATCTAAGCAGGCAGGCAGTCTTTAAGCTAGCTGCTTTTCAGACCAGTAGAACACTTTTCAAAACCAGCAGAACAAGCAATTTTAGTTTTTATAGCCTTTCGAGTTTTCCTTCTTTCTTGTTTTCCTGGGACCTTTGCTACCTCCTGCTTCATGCCCTTGCATTCCATGTATTGGTCCATGATCCCATTTTTAGAATTGTGAAATCCAAAAAGCTCTGAAAATCAAATTTTTCCCATTAAATTGTTTTATTTTGGTAAAATACAAGGATACTTCAAAAAGTTTGTGAAAAATCGGATTAAAAGAAATTTATTTTGGTGCTGCAAAAATATTTTTAAACCCATGTATACAAGGAGTCTTCAAAAAGTTAATGAAAAATACATATTAATACATATTATGAAAAAACTATGCATGGATTTCAGAATTTTTGGCACCAAAATAAGCTTTCAAATAAATAAATATTTAAAAATTATTTATTTGTGAGCTTTTTCAAGTACCCTGGATACAAATATAAAACTTGCCATCTTAACTAATTTTAATTTATTAGTAGTACAGTCATAATATGCTACCGTCACCACAATCCACCTACAGAACTTTTTTCATTTTGTAAAATTGCAACTCTGTATCCTGTAAGCAGTAACTCTCCCTTCCCTCTTCCCTCTTCCCTCTTGCCCCTGGAAACCAGTTTACTTTTCAAATAATTATGTCATTGAAACTCAGCTGGGAGCCAGAAAGAAGAGAGTTTCATTTTACTCTGTATTTGTTTCACTTGGTGTGCATTCCCATGTTAACTGTAGAATATGTGTTGGATTACCAGGGCCTGCCCCAGATCCCACTTGGAATATATGGTGACACATGTGTTCATGTCATGTAGTCCCTTGAACAAATGAGCCAAGAAGCACTTTCCAAGTTGTGAAGCATATCTGCCTTTCAGGATTTTGGCTAGAGACTGTGGGACCTGTACTATATTGGAAGTTACTTTTATTATTTAGTTTTAGTTTAGTTGTACTTAACATATAAAAATTCATATTTGAAAAATTTAAATTAAGGTGTGAATGCCTACTTCCTATTCAACATGTAGACATTTACTTAGCACCCTATTTTCAGAAAGGGAACCCACCTGGGCTATCTTTCCCTGCTCCTGGCAGATACTATCTCACTCTTAAGGAAACAACCTGCAGGCTTGGAGAAAGGGCAGGCAGCTGCTGGCTGCATGGATGTGTGTTCCTTAAACAGACTTTCAGCTCAGCTTCCAGTTTAGAGTACTACCTCCTGACCCAGATCTTATAGTTGTTGAGGTTTAGGGTTGTGCTAGGTAAATTCTGCTAATTCCTGACTTTCGATAAGGCAGAGTTTTTCTTTTTGCTTTTCAGTTTCCAAATTGTATTGCTGTGATATTTCTCTTCTAATTTTGGCTGAAAACAAAAATTGTGACAGAAAACCACCACCTCCCAGTAAAGCCCAAACTTATGCCCTTTACATTTTAGTGGGGTTTCAAGGAGGGAGCAGAAGTTAAATACTTTTGTTCACTCTGCCATCCTAATTGGGAAATTAGTGTTTTACTTTAAAAAGCTCAATGTTTTCCTTGTGTTAATTTCTTACAGTGTTCAGGTTTGTTTTTTTTTTTTTAAGATTTATTTATTTTTATTTGAAAGGCAGTGCTTACAGAAACAGAGAGGGAGAGACAGAGAGACAGAGGGAGAGAGAAATCTTCATCTGCTGGTTCACACCCCAAATGGCTGCAACAGCTGGAGCTGGGCCGGTCCAAAGCCAGGAGCCAAGAGTTTCTTCTAGATCTCCTATGTGGGTGCAGGGACCCAAGCACTTGGGCCATCTTTTACTGCTTTCCCAGGAGCATTAGCAGTGAGCTAGGTAAGAAGCTGAGCAGTGACTTGAACCAGCGCCCATATGGGATGCCAGTGTTGCTGGTGGGGTGGCCTTACCCACTCCGCCAGAAGGCTGGCCTCTCCGTTTATTTTTCTACTAGACTGTAGGTCTCCTTTGACAGAGACCATGACCTCCAGTGTTTGGTTGAACTTAGGCTGCTTTGAAACTGGACTTGCCTTTGGCCCAGGATGGGATGGTTTCAGCTCAGATCTGACCAGTATTTGGGTTTTAAGCAGACAGCTTGGGCAGGGACTCGAGTATCTGGCAAATTCTTGCTTTCTTGAGGGCCTTCAACAACAAACATTTATGGCATTTTAGGTAATACATTAGAACCTGTACCACTACGGGTATCCTAAGGGTAATAATAGAAATATTTAACAGTTGGTGTAGCATGGGCAGAGACAAGTTCTGAAGCACATTTATGGTGTACTGATGCATATCAGCTTACTAGCCACTCACACTCCTACTTGGTTTCTAGAATGCTCCAACTTTCTTCAGTGCCCCGTCCCCCTTTCTACACCTCCTACTTATTGCCCTGCACTAAGTCCCAGACTGGATCTTTAGAGAAATGAGTTTGAGCTACATTCCCTCCTTCTCTAGTCCCCTCCTTAAGGCTTGTACCAAATTCCCTGTGCACAGTGGCAAATAATAGGTGCTGTGGAAATAGAAAGTCTTTGCCTTGGTTTTTGATACCCAAAGAGTGAGGGTAGAATGCAAGAGTCTTAGTGTGGGATGGAATTATCAAAGGCAGACTGTCCAGAGGGTATTTCAGGGTTGGCAGCCTTAGCCTGGGCCACCAGAGTCCTGAGCACTTTTCCTGTCAATTTGGCTAAGCTGATGTACTCTGCATTACTTTTCTCACCTTAGCCTCCTTCTCCAAACTTCTTCTGGCCTGCAGATTCCATCAGGCATACACTGGGAGGATGAGGGAAGGGCTAAGGGGGAGGCAGTGTTAGGCTGGGGTGAGTGGGTAGGGTGGACAAGGTCCCACCTCTGACTGGCTACATTATGCAAGTCCACCTGGAACACAGGAGAGACCTGATGCGACAGAAAGTACAGGGCCAATCAGGGGTGCATCATAGAAATGGCTATACAGGCGAAGCAGATTTTTTCCCCCTTGATCTCTCAACTTACATATTTATGTAGCAAGATGGATAAGTATGCCTATAAGACTAATTTATGTTTTAAAGTTTAAAAAGTCGGAAAAAATTTTTGGAAGGGGAAGATAGGACTTGGAATTAGAATTGAGACAGCGATTACCTATCTAATTTTGAAAATGGGTCTATTATGTTAAAGAGTCTTTCCTTAGAATGCTTGGAAACTTTCACCTTGGTTTCAGACTTTCTGCAATCTTTGGCATTCCTGGTAGAGGAACCTGGGGCTGAATTATTATGAAGCATTCTAAACCCTAGGCTATTTGAAGCTGCTGATTTAAGGGCTAAATTCATAGTTTCCATTAGCTCTTCTTTTATAACTTCTTATTTTCCACATTTTGTTGAAGAATACTAGCTAGAGAAACATTTGAATGCTAACTCATTTGCTAAAATTGTAAGATTATTTTCTTGATGTCTGTCATAGTAATGCTTTCTAGAGCAGCAAAGTGAGATTGTGCTATTCATCATGTCATAGAGAAATGGAACAGAACCTAGAACTAAGAAGGTTGCTGTATGAACTGAGTGCAGTGATGGGTGTCTACTATAGGATGCTCTGACTGCTGTGCAGGCTGCCACACTGCGGGACTGCTGAGATCTTTGTTGGACGATCTGATCACAGCCAGTTCTGCAAGCTTGCTTCAGATCTGTCCATGAGACCACTCATTCTATTTACATTACTTCTTAGCTGACATTATCACTGTCTTGTTTAATCTCTAGTAAATCCCAAGCTCAGGCTCATCTAAGAAAGTAGTTCAGGTCCACATACATTATTGAGCACCTCCTGAAGGTCAGGCACTGTTAGATCCTGAGTCGACAAAAAGAAGACACTGTCCCTGCCCTACAATGTACAGTCTAGTGGGAGAAAACAGATACACAGTTAACTTTCAACAGAGTCCTTTTGAGGAACAAGTCAAGGAAAACAGAACTTGTTGCCTAGTTAAATACAGGGGTTTAGTGAAAGAAAAATATCTGGGGTCACTTCTATGCTGATCATGCTCTCCTCTCTGAAACCCTCTTCCCTGGGCTTCTGAACATCTGTTTCTGAACACTGGGTACATTTAAGGTGGTATGACTGTAGACCAAACATATACTTAATATTTTTTTAATTTGAGAGGCAGAGATGAAGATAGGAGGTGGGGGAGAGGTGTGTAGCCAGAGCCAGGAACTCAGTCCAGGTCTCCTATTGGGTAGCAGGAACCTAACTACTTGAGCCATTGCCTGATGCCTCCCGAGATGTGCTTTAATAGTTTAATAGGAAGCTGGAAGCTGGAAGCTGGAGCTGGAGCTAGGAATTGAATCAGACACACTGATGTGAGATGCAGGCATCCAAACTGGGTATCTTAAGTACTAGGCAAAATGGCTGGTCCCCCTCCCCCCATACACCTATTTTTAGTCTTCTTTCCCCTTTGCTGATCATTCAGTCATTCTCTTTTCTAGATGCACTTGAGGGCACAGTCCTTAAATTCTGGCATCTTCAGGGCCCTGTCCTCAGCTCTATGCTCTCTTCACCTCCTTCTCCTGGGGCAGGGACCCCCATAGCTCTCCCTGCAGCTCCGCTCCTATTTCTCAGCATCAGTTAGATAACTCCACCTGCCACAGACAACTGCCATGGACACTCCCTGCCAAACCTTTAGATCCCAAAGCTGCATGTAGTCCTGCTTCCCTGTCTCATGCTGCCTGGGACGCCCTCCATGGAAGGAAATGGAAGTGGACAGAGGTCTCATGCAGCACAATCCAATAGAAACATGTTAGCCACCTGTGTAACTTACTTGTCACAGTTAAAAAGTAAAAGAAACATGTGGAGTTAACTTTGACAATGTATATTAACCCATAATACCCAACATATTATCATTTCAACATGAAACCAATATAAGAATTATTAATTACATACATGTATGTCACACTGAACCTTCAAAATTCAGAATGTATTTCAATGTCAATTTGCACGACCCACATTTCAAGTGCTCTATATCAACCTATGTCTAGTGGCTCCAGAATTGCACAGTGCTGGTCTAGAATGAAAACAGTACAGTTTGAGGCTTGGTAAAAACACTGTTGTAAGAAGTATCACAAGATAGATTATAAATGTCACTATTTATATTATTCATGTTTATTTCTGTCCCTTGTGGGTTTTTCCTAATATGTAGAGAAGACTTTGGAATTTCATTGTTCCTTAGCAGTGCTAAGAAAAATCAAGAAATCCTGTGTGTGTGTGTGTGTGTGTGTGCACGCGTGGTGGTGGTGGTGGGGATTTTAAGATTCCCCAGCCCCTGGGGAATCCCAAGGGGAAGATGAAATTCTCAGCATAGAGCCTTTCCCTACTTAGTCATTCCTAAAGCTTAGTGTGAAATCTTTGCATTTTGTTTTACAAGACATTTGCTTTCCACTCTCACAATTTCTTTTTATAATTTTCATACCTTAGGTGATAGGAACAAAATTTATTTACTTTACAATAATTATTTTAGCAAAACTACCTGGATTTTCTAGGAAGGTGTGGAATTTGAATACTCTCTTTTTCATTCCACACATTTGAATTCTGGTTTTGAAAACAGGATCGCTGTATCACACTCTTGGGTGTGAAATATTGGAGACTCACTATGGTGATCAACCAATGGGTGCTTACCAGTTTTTGGAGCTTAGCCCTGCATCATTCCGGATCCTTCTTTAAATGCTTTCAGGAATCTACCACTTTGTTATCTTTTCTTTTTTTTTTTTTTTTTTTTTGACAGGCAGAGTGGATAGTGAGAGAGACAGAGAGAAAGGTCTTCCTTTTCTGTTGGTTCACCCCACAATGGCCGCTGCAGCTGGCGCCCGCGCACCACGCTGATCCGATGGCAGGAGCCAGGTGCTTCTCCTGGTCTCCCATGGGGTGCAGGGCCCAAGCACTTGGGCCATCCTCCACTGCACTCCCGGGCCACAGCAGAGAGCTGGCCTGGAAGAGGGGCAACCGGGACAGAATCCGGCGCCCCGACAGGGACTAGAACTCCGCCACAGGCGGAGGATTAGCCTAGTGAGCCGCAGCGCCGGCCAGAGACTACCACTTTCACTGGAGAAGCTGTAGTTTCTAGGGAGGCTACTCTTTTCAAGAGATGACAGAGCAGGTACCTGGGCAGCAGCCCTTCTGCCACTGTTCCTAAATCAATCTGACTTTTTTTTTTTTTTTTTTTGACAGGCAGAGTGGACAGTGAGAGAGAGAGACAGAGAGAAAGGTCTTCCTTTGCCGTTGGATCACCCTCCAATGGCCGCCGCTGCAGCCGGCGCACCGCACTGATCCGATGGCAGGAGCCAGGATCCAGGTGCTTTTCCTGGTCTCCCATGGGGTGCAGGGCCCAAGCACCTGGGCCATCCTCCACTGCACTCCCTGGCCATAGCAGAGAGCTGGCCTGGAAGAGGGGCAACCGGGACAGAATCCGGCGCCCCAACCGGGACTAGAACCCGGTGTGCCGGCGCCGCAAGGTGGAGGATTAGCCTATTGAGCCACGGCGCCGGCTCCAATCTGACTTTTAAGGAATGTCTTTTTCCGAGGAAGAAGAGATTTTAAAGTTATATAGTGACAAGGGAGCTTTCTAAGAACTCTTCTGGCAGGCTGATAAAGAAAGATGCGGAAAGAAATTATACAGGCCATGGAAGAGTGGTGTAGTCTTGGGGACACCAGCCAGATATTGGTGCCCACAAATCAGGGGAGACAGTGGCTTCTTCTAGTACTGTTGAAAATGCTCTTCCCGTGTTTAGCTGTCAACGAAAATTCTCTCACTTTCTTGGTCTAGGCTGGGGGGATGCTATGGAGGAAGGTGGTGGCAGAGGGCCCAGCTTCCTAGTGTCCCATCGGTCAGGTCCGCTCCCCTCAGGGCAAAGGGCGCCTGGAGGCACTGGGAGTGGGGAGGACACAGTGGGTAGGTAGAGAAGAGCGAGGTGCGTCACCCTTGTTTCCTGGGCTGTCAGTCTCCCAGAGTCCCCATTTTCCAGGTAGGGACGCCCCCTCCCATGCAGCGCGGTTCCGGAGGGTGGGAAGGAGGGGCTGGGCTCCGAGCGCCCGCCCCTCCATCTATCACATGGCCGGAGAGTCACAAAAACAACAGCTTTGGCCAAGACCGTGACTTCTGGACAGGGAACCCAGCTCCGGCAGCCAGCCCCCTCCCCATGGAGGACAGTTTGCTTGAATCCTTTGGGAGGCTGAGCCTCCAGCAGCAGCAGCAGCAGCCGCCGCCGCCGCCGTCTCGGCTGCCGCCCCCCCGGGGGACGCCTCCGCGCCGCCACAGCTTTAAGAAACACCTCTACCTCCTGCGAGGCCTCCCGGGCTCCGGGAAAACCACACTGGCCAGGTAATGACAGCGGCCTGGGCGCCGGCGCGCGGGCCCGGGGCCACCGAGCACCCCGGCCGAGCGCGCCCCTGCCCGGAGCCGCTCCCGGGCGCCGCTCGCGCCTCCGCTGCGGGCGCCTGTCCTGGCCCGGCCCCGGCCCCGGCCCCGGCCCCGGCCCCGGCCTGCGCCTGGCCGCGCGGGGAGCCCTGGCCGCCGCCGCCCCCGGGGGCCGCTGCCGTCCCTGGCGCCTGCGGCCGCGGGCGCGGACAGGAGGGCGCTCGTCTTGTTTGTTTCCCGCTGCGCTTTCCCGGGAGGACGGATTTCGGCACTGCGCCTTGCGCAAGCCCCAGATGGCACCGGCCCCTTCCCCGCGGCTGTGGCCGGCCTAGTGGCAGCCCCGCCAAGGCAGCCTTCTCCGCCCCCAGCTCCCCAGTCCGGGGTCTGGGAGGCCGGCAGGGACACTTCTTCGGGAAAACCTGGTGGCGACTGCAGAGAAACCCGCGGCGCGGCCGGCTAGCGCGCAGGCAGCCGCCACAGTGCGTCAACAGGCGTTTTAACCGAAGCGGATACCACAGGGGGCTGGGGCAAGGGCTGGGGCTGGGGGCACGGCGGGGCCGCAGCCAGGCACTTGCGACCCGCTGTAAGCATCTGGTGGGTTCAGGCAGCCTGCGTTTGCTTTGGCAGCTGCGAAGGCGCACAGGTGCACTGGGGATTTTGGGGTGGGGGGGTCGTTGGCGCCGCCACCACAGACTGGCGTTGACAGAGCCTCGTCTTGGGGCTCAAATTCGGTTACTTGCGAATTGCGTAAGCCGCCCACCCGGTACCAGGTCAGCGGGAATCGCTCGGGCTCCTTGCCTGCTGCCACCTTGCTAGGCCCACAGCTCCAGCCTGAACTCCCAGCACTCTCTGCCTTGCACCTGATGTTCCAGCAACGTTGAACTGTTTGTCTCCTTGCCGGGCTGATGCAAGCCCACCTGCCTGGTTTGGCCTCCTGCCTCCCTTTGCTCCACAGATTACCTGGCAGCCGCCCACCCCGCCAGTAGATGCATCTCGGCTTCCTGTTTACACCTCTGTGACTGCGCTTAGATTTGCACATGGTTTTGTTTTTCCTTCTGTAAGTTTCTTGAAGGTAGGGGCCATATGCTATTCTGCCAAGTGCGTAGCCTGGCAGGTGGTTGGTGTTCAATAGGGGAGCTGGTCTCTGGCCCTCTCTGCTTGCTCCCTCCTCCCCACCCCCAATTCCTCAGAGCCTTCCCTCTCTCTGGAGAGATAATAAGACTGGCCATGGGGCCACAGAACGTAGGCAGCAGGCAGTCATATGCTGATTTTGATGGCACTCAGTGACCTTAGGAAGGAGTCTGAGCCTTTGTGTTTGATGGAAATGTGGCAGCTCTGGCAAGGTGCTGCCAGTTTTGATTAAGATTCCTGGTTGATTTGTGGAGTAGAAGCCTTCAGCCAGAGAATATTGCTGCATTTTCTGATTAAAGGAATGATTGACTTCTGGAGGGCCATTGGTGTCCTTTCCTAAAACACAAACACACATCAGTAGTTCCTCTCGGGCTTTCTGAGGAGGCAGAGGAGGATGGTGGAGTGGGGAGCTTCCTGGAAACCCAGCAGAATTTGGTTATTTTGTGATGCAATCATGGTGGATACATCTGTTACCAAGTATCTTCTGAAAGTCAAACCCACTGTAATTTCACTTTCACTTCCCTGATCTGTGACCAGCCACACAACAGGCATTAAAGAAGGAGGTAAACATTTTTTGCCAAATTCTTTGCAACTGTATTCTGAAGGGAAGTACTATGATGGAAGATGCATAGAACTGAACATCGGGGTTCCTCATCCTAAAGCAAATGGGTTGGTTGGGGTGGTCTTTCAGGTCCCTCTGGTTCTTACCTTCTACGCTCTCAGGATTTTTTAATTCCCGATTGACATTTGGATAAGTAGAAGTCACCAGGTGAGAGGCCAACTTATTAAAGAGCGGCTCTCTAGAGTGGACTGGAGTGAACACTGGCCTGGGATCTGAAGATGTGCTTTTCTGTCTGTCTGGTCACCAAATAGCGACTGCAGTCGATCACCTAGCTAGCTGCTCTGGGCCTGATGTTCCTGACATCTGAGTAACAAGAGGTTAGAGGATTTACTAAAGAGCCCCAGACTCTTCCAGCTGTCAGACTTGAACATGCGTAGCTGATGAAGGCTAGATGGAGAGCTCCAGTTATGGCTTCCTATCCAAAACTCAGCCCCTCACTCAGCCTGTACCTTGTTCCCTTTCCTGCTAAATGAGGCTGTCTGCTCTGTCTGCCTCAGAGCACTGTTGTGAAGAGTAAGCTTCGAAGTGCTATGGAAGTTTGAAGAGGTAGTAGTTGTTGATGAGCTGATAACTGTTTAGAGTTACTAGGGGGAAGCCTGGCTTGAAGTGCAGAAGGCAGCTAGCTGCAGGCGGGCTTTGAGCTCTCTCGTTAGGCTGGGTATCGGCACTTCTGGGTGCAGATGAGCCTTAGCATGCCTTGGTGTGGACTGTGCCTCCATACAGACACATATGTCTGCAAGGAAGTGGGCCACTGCTTAGCAAGGAGGGGGACCTGCAAGTGGATGAGTGATGCTGAGGAAGTCACACGTATGGCCTTAAAGGAGCTGCCTTCTTCAGTGTTTTAGGCGGGGTGGGTTTGGGAAGAGAATGGCAAGTTGTTTGAAATGTATAGAAAACAGTCAAATTGTAAGGTTATCTTATGTATTGTTGGGTTCTGGGAAATTCACATATTCTATATTCCATGTATTTTCCAAAATTTTTATAACAAACATGTATTTATTAAACCAGTATAATAAAATATTTTCTTTAAAAATTGGAAGAAATTGGTTTTTACAATGTGGGTTCATCTTTTTCTGCTTAATCTTTATTTTTCATTTCATTAAAGAACTAATAAACTTTTTTTGAAATTAGGATATGTCTTGTCTTCCAAATCAATGTTAGATTTACATACTTTTCACCTACTTGTTTTTGTAGCTTGAGGTGGCTGAAGTGTGGAAATGATCTATTTAAATTCTTTGGTTTTGTTAAAAAAATTGGGCTTTTATTTGGGTTAACATTTTTAAGCACATCAGATTACTTAAAAACTTGTGTGCTTCCTAAATTTGTTTTATCACCTTTATTTAATCTAAAAAACATCTTTTAAACAAGGTTTCCTCATTGACCTGAAAATTCTGTTGCCAGAAATGTATCCTAGTTATTGGTCAAGCACATGAAGATGGAGAAATGTTCACCACCAAGTTTTTTTTTTTTTTTTTGTATAATAGAAAACAGTGTGAAACAAGTATTAAAAAATAGAACATTGACTGATAAGTCATGTAGTCATCAATGGGAACATAGATGTATATTTGATACGCAAATATAGCCACCCCTTCATTAAGTTAAAAAGCCTATTCCAAAGATACACACACTCTATCTTCTGTTCAAAGAAAGGTGTCTACACATACTCTAGAAAAATGTGTGAAAAGAGATATCTATTGGAAGTTGTTGACTGTAGATGGGATTATGGACTTTTCTTCTGTGACTTATTTTCTAGTTTTTCTACAGCAAATAGGTACTCCTTGGTAACTTTGAACTAGGATAGGTCGCTTAATTCTTCAACACTCCTGGGCCTTTTTTGATGGAGCTGATATTCCATTGTTACAAATATGGTGAGGTTTCAGATACCATGGTTAGCAGCAACTTTAGGATTATGTCTGTGGATTAAGTACTGTGGAATGTGTGTGCTACATAAAAACCAACTATTTCTTAATTATTAGACAACTATTGTTAATTATTAGTTGCTAATCAAAAATGACAATGTTCATTTAAAAGACCAAACATAGCCCCTGCTTACTGAGGTATATAAGTCAAGTAAGGTTAAGAGAGGACCGGGCATAAGACTAATACATGGAAAGCAAAAATCAGTACACTGCTGTGGGTAAGTAAGGGGCTGCTTCTATGGTCCTGGTGGTCAAAGCCCCAGGAGTCAGTGAGAATTAGGCTAACTAGGGAGAGTCTCCTCTCCATGAGGATGGTTCTTGAGTTAGTCTGGAAGACAGGGAAGATGTAGTTGAGCAAAGGGGAAGGAATGGTGACATGAATAAGGAGATGGGGTGGGAGAGCACTGGGTGTTCCCTGGACTTGGCTGGGCTGGAAGGGTCATAGGAGTAAATGAACTGGCTCCCAGGGCCGGATCATGGAGAACATTAGAAGCTGGACAAAGGAGTACAGAGCTTGATTCAGAGGAAATAAGATTCCAGTCCCACGACCCTTTCACTCTCGGCAGATGATACACAGCTCTTTCCACAGCTGAAGTGACAAACTCACCTGGGTCTACACCTGTCCTTTCCTCCTATCTCAGTGAAAACATTTGTGCGTGAACTTCTGCTTTCCTGTGTGTGTGTGTGTGTGTGTGTGTGTGTGTGGTAAATGTGCTCCTGTGCTGGCCATTTTAACCAATTTTTTTTTTTCATTTTAACCATTTTAAGAAGGTTATTTATTTTATTCAAAAAGCAGAGAGAGAAGGAATGTGCTCCTATCTTTTGGTTCACTTCCTAAATACCTACAACAACTGAGGCTGATCTAGACTGAACCAGGAGCCCAACTCACTCGACTTAGTCACTCACATTGGGTGGCAGCAACCCAAGAACTTGAGTCTTCACCTGCTGCCTGCCAGGGTACACTTGGCAGGAAGCTGGAATCAGGAGTGGAGCTAGGACTCTAACCCAGGCACTCAGGTATTTTAAGCAGTATCTTAACTGCTGCACCAAATGCCAACCTCTCCCACATTCCCCGCATTTTAACTATAAAATTCAGTGGCATTTATTACACTTACGGTGCTCTACAACACTATTTTAAAGTTTTTTTTTTTTATTACTCCAAGCGAACTTTGTGCTCATTAAGCAATAACTCCCTATTCCACCCCTCCCAGTAACCTCTCAGCTACTTCCTGTCTATTTGATTAAGTATCACACAATATTCAATTGTGTGTGCGTGTCTGTCTTATTTCAATTAGCTTAATGCTTTCAGGGTTCATCCATGTAGCCTGTATTTGTGGCTGGAGAAAGTATTAAATTTTATGGTTACACCACTAAAACATCCTGTGAAATGGTAATAGTAGATGGTAGTCCTTGTACTTTTCAATGTCCTTATTTGAAATTAAAAGTTATGAACCTCATGTTAGTTACTCAGAATTTTATTTATTTATTTATGTATTTATTTCAAAGATTATTTTATTTGAAAGGCAGAGTTACAGATGGGGAGTCGGGGAGAGGTCCTCAATCTGCTGGTTCACTACCAATATGGTCACAACTGCTGGAGCTGAGCTGATCTGAAGCCAGGAAGCCAGGAGCTTCTTCCAGGTCTCCCACATGAGTGCAGGAGCCCAAGGACTTAAGCCATCTTCTACTGCTTTTCCAGGCCACAGCAGAGAGCTGGATTAGAAGTGGAACAGCCAAGACTTGAACCGGCGCCCAGATGGGATGCTGGCTCTGCAGGTGGCGGCTTTACCCGCTATGCCACAGCGCCAGCCCCTATTTATTTATTTATTTTTAATCTTTACATCTCAAAGCAAAGACTGGGACCTGTACTCTAGTACACATTGCCTCCTTTGGAGTGTTCTAGTTCTTTCTGGCACCATCACAAATGATCTGTAACATGGGTTTAGTTGGACTCAGGGATGCTTGTTGACAGCTGTCTCATCTTCTTATTCCTATGTCTGGATAACACAGAATTTTCCATTGACAGAAATACCATCTGATTATTTCTTGGTACAAGAGCTTTCCAAGAAAGTGAAAGGATGCTTTTCTAATGTGATGTAATGATAAGACAGAGTGGGGAGATATTCATGCTTTTTACAACCACACAGTGGAATATGGGAAACAATGAGAGCAGGGGATTAGCTAAATACAGTTCTGAGTATTAAGACCCCAAGCATACTCTGCTCCGCAGATCTTGTCTGCAAGCCTAGACTATGGCAATGTTATTTGCGAGGCTGAGGCTCTTGCTTTTTATTAAAGGCAAGAGCAAAATAGGAAGTTTGCAGCATTCCAAGTGTATGTGTATCAAAACAGAGTATCAGGTAGATGGTATTTCAAATCTTAGTCACTTAACTCTACTTGGAGAAGGACTACTTAAGCTTTTTATATTTTCCATGATTTTCCTAAGGTGGGTCTTATGTCTACTCACTGCTGAGTGTAGATGCTTTGCATATTGAACAGAGTAGGAGTATAATCTACTCACGTACGGATGCACAGGGCATGATGTGTCTGTAGTCATTCTCTGGAAAGGTGGCGTCTGGATAGGTCGCCCAGCTCTTGTGGGGATTCATCATCTCCATAGTCTGCAGCGGTTGGAACAATGCAGGAAGACTGTGGAAATGGGGCGATCTGATACTGCAGGTGCAGGGGCGGCTATGATTTGAGAGCGGGTGGAAACGGATGGAGAAAGGAAAGAGGGATTTTCCTAGGAAAAGCTCAGGAGATGTAGAGGAAGCTCCAGTCGAGCTTACCTAGTTCAAGCTGAAGATGTGAAGCTCTGAGAAGATACACATCTTAATCAAGGTCAGAGCAATTAATTCTCCTTCTTTCTAATCCAGAGCTTTTTCTTTTACATCCAAGGAAGAGGTTAGTGGGAGTGACTTGATAAAAGGATGATAAGGTTGGTTTTGAACTGTGTACGATGAGAAAAAAAAACACTTAAAAGTTCTACTAAGAGGGCTAAGCTAACCTGGATTTCAACCGTCAGGGTAAGGAAACTATATTTATTGTTAATTACCAATATTAATGATCTTTTCCTGCTAATATAAAATATTATTTACCAGGGAATTTGTTTTCTTTATTGCATGTTGCCATTGAGGCAATGGGAAGAGATAAGATTTAAACTTCTATTATCTTTAAAATTTTCATTTTATTTGAAAGGCAGAGAGAGAGAGAGAGAGGGAGTGAGATACCTTCTACATATTGGTTCACTCCCAAAATGCCTGTAACAGCTAGGCCAAAGCTAGGGTGGCAGGGACCCAAGTACTTGACCCATTACCTGCTGCCTCCCAGGGTGCACTTTAGGAAGAAGCTGGGCAGCCGGGACTCGAACCAGCACCTATATGGGGTGCTGGCCCTGCAGACTGCGGCTTTACCGGCTACGCCACAGCACTGGCCCCAGGGAAGAAGCTGGAGTCTAGAGTCGACACTGGTATGGGATGTGGGCACACAAATCTGTGACTTAACCACTGTGCCCAAACACCCTGAGATGTAGACTTCTAAATCAGTTTTCATATTTATCCTGATTGTGATACTTTTGGGAGAGAATTTTCAAACTAAAGTCCCTTTCTTACCTGCTTATGTGATGGGATATTTACTTACTTAAAATTTTTAATGTTGGGGAGCAAGAGATACAGCACAAGCTTCCATTTGCTGGTCATTCCCCAACTGTCTACAATGGCTACAGGTGAGCTAGGGCTGGGACTGAGGCTGGATCCGGGAATTGGGAATTTAATCTAGTTCTCCTCTATGGGGGCAGCAACCCAGTCATTTGAGCTTCCCAGGCTCCACATTGGTGGGAAGCTGGAGTAAGGAGCCACAGCTGGGAATCGAACCCAGGCACTCTAGTGTGCACCTGGATGTCTTAACCACCAGGCTAAACGCTCACTCTCTAATAGGGTGTTTATAACTCAACTCAATGGCTTAGTATGATCTTGGCCTGTCAGTGAGCTCTTATCTATATAATGGCGCCTTTCTAAGGCCAGATGTTCCCACTAAGAAACTTTTGTTATTTTTTTATTACTTTCTGTAAAGCTATCTGGACTATAGGATTGAAGAAACAGCTTGATAAAGAAAAACTAGTCTAATATCTAATCGTTCCTTCATAAGGCTCTCTATCGGATGATGTAAATGGCCTGGGGAGAAGGCTATCTGTTGTGTCAAGGTAAGATCCTGGGGACGGGGAAGGGAGATGTGGAGGACGCAAAGCAAGTGCACAGCCACTGCGTGCTGAGCGTATGCCTGGCACTCACAGACACGGTTTGTTGGGTCTTCACAATAACCCTGTGATCTCCAGTAGCTGCTTTTATTTATAGGTGAGGACATGAACATCAGAGAAAACCTATGGGGTTTCCCAGCACTTCGAGTAGTCTTACTCTCCTGGGGATATTCACAGACAAATGCACCTCTGTCCACTTCTCACACTTATTGGGGATCCTGTACAATTGACTAGCTGGGACCTTTCAGTGTTCTTTTTCTATAATTCTAAGGCTCTGATGAAAAATTCTGAGAGCAGCTTTCTCAAGCAGTGCCTTCCAGCATTATTTGCCTTATATCTTGTTGGTTAAATAGATATTTCTTTCATGAATTTGAGAGAGAGAGAGGGAGGGATATATATATATATATATATATATATATATAGAGAGAGAGAGAGAGAGAGAGAGAGAGATCTTCCATTTGCTGCTTTACTCTCCAGTTGCCTGCAACAGCCACGGCTGGGCCACGCCAAAGCCAGAAGTTGGAATTCCATATGGGTGGCAGGAATGAACCCGAGTACTTGAGCTGTTGTTCCCTGCCAGCCTCCCAGGGTGTGTGTCAGCAGGAAGCTGATGCCAGAGCAGAGCTGGGACTTGAACCAGGTATTCTAATATTGGATGCAGGCGTCCCATGTGGCATCTTAAGTGCTGTGCCGAATTCCCTGCCTTATCTATTTCTTTTACTGGAATGTAAACTTTATGAGCTATAATCGAAGTTCCATGACAACAGGAAGTTTATTCTAAAAGAAGGCCTGGCACATAATAAGCATTCACTAAATACCTGATGAATGGGTTTGCTAATGAAAGGCATTGCCAGAAGCCTCCTAAGAGGTGGGAGCTTGGATGTTGGCATGGCTCTTGAGTAAAGAATAAAATAAAAAATGAGATTAGGTGCATAAAGAGAACTTTACAAGAATGAAGGGGATATGGAGCATCAAGAAGGGGAGGAACAAAATGAGGGAATAGCTACCCCCAAATTCTCTTCAACTCAGTGTACAAGGCAGCTATTCCTATCTTTTTTTTTACTGCTATATAGTATTCTTTTTTTTATTTTTTTTAACTTTTATTTAATGAATATAAATTTCCAAAGTACAGCTTATGGATTACAATGGCTTCCCCCCCATAACGTCCCTCCCACCCGCAACCTTCCCCTCTCCCACTCCCTCTCCCCTTCCATTCACATCAAGATTCATTTTCGATTCTCTTTATCTACAGAAGATCAGTTTAGCATACATTAAGTAAAGATTTCAACAGTTTGCTCCCACACAGAAACATAAAGTGAAAAATAATAGATGATTTTTTAAATGATGATGAAATCAGATCAGACCTATTGTCATGTTTAATCCCAGTGAGAGTCAAGTTGGGAATTGATAATTTCTTTTTTTTTTTTTTTTTTTTTTTTTTTACAGAAGATCAGTTTAGTATACATTAAGTAAAGCTTTCAACAGTTTGCACCCCCATAGAAACACAAAGTGAAATATACTGTTTGAGTACTCGTTATAGCATTAAATTTCAATGTACAGCACATTAAGGACAGAGATCCTACATGAGGAGTAAGTGCACAGTGACTCCTGTTGTTGACTTAACAAATTGACACTCTTGTTTATGGCCTCAGTAATCTCCCCATGCTCCGGTCATGAGTTTCCAAGGCTATGGAAGCCCCTTGAGTTCTCCGACTCTTATCTTGTTTAGACAAGGTCATAGTCAAAGTGGAGGTTCTCTCCTCCCTTCAGAGAAAGGTACCTCCTTCTTTGAAGACCTGTTCTTTCCACTGGGATCTCACTCACAGAGATCTTTCATTTAGGTTGTTTTTTTTTTTTTTTTTTTTTGCCAGAGTGTCTTGGCTTTCCATGCCTGAAATACTCTCATGGGCTTTTCAGCCAGATTGGAATGCCTTTATGGCTGATTCTGAGGCCAGAGTGCTGTTTAGGACATCCGCCATTCTATGAGTCTGCTGAGTATCTCGCTTCCCATGTTGACAGGCAGAGTTGGACAGTGAGAGAGAGGGAGACAGAGAGAAAGGTCTTCCTTTTCCATTGGTTCACCCCACAGATGGCTGCTACAGCCGGCGCACTGCACCGATCTGAAGCCAGGAGCCAGGTGCTTCTCCAGGTTTCCCATGCAGGTGCAAGGCCCAAGCACTTGCGTCATCCTCCACTGCCTTCCTGGGCCCCAGCAGAGAGCTGGACTGGAAGAGGAGCAACTGGGACAGAATCTGGCACCCCAACCGGGCCTAGAACCCAGGGTGCCAGCGCCGCAGGCAGAGGATTAGCCTAGTGAGTCGCGGCGCCGGCTGCTATTCCTGTTTTTAACATGTGAAAATGTTCTGATATACCAGTTTGGATTTAAAAATTAGAATCAAGAGCAATCTGTTGTCCCAGGTAAGCAGTAGTCAGAAGACAGCCCAAAGTGACTTTTTCCCTTTGTGGCTACTCTTCTGTTATCTGTAACCAATCTGTGACATTCTGGGGAAAGAGAGCTACCATGTAGTTAGTACTGTGGTAGGTGTGCCTGATACCTGGTTATATTAGCATGACTGAGTTGATCAATAGAACACAAATCAGGAGACACCTGTACCAGTGCAGATCCCTTTTTTTTTTTTTTTAAAGATTTATTTATTTATTTAAGAGGCAGAATTAGAGACAGAGGGAGAAAGAGAGGGAGAGGTCTTCCATCTGCTGGTTCACCCCCCAAATGGCTGAAACAGAGCTGGGTCGATCCAAAGCCAGGAGCCGGGAACTTCTTTCGGGTCTCCCATGTGGGCGCAGGGGCCCAAGCACTTGTGCTATTCTCCAGCACTTTCCCAGCTAGCAGGGAGCTGGATCGGAAGTGGATCAGCCGGGACTTGAACTGGTGCCTATATGGGATACTGGCGTCGCAGGTGGAGGCTTAACCTACCACACCACAGCACCAGCCCCAGCGTGCAGATTCTACAGAAAGGTGCTGTCTGTGTGCAAGATACTAAAGGTGTCCCTGCCAGACAGACTGAAGTGGGACCACACGGATCAGTGATAATCGGGAGTCTGGCAGTTTGGTTTTCAATCTCATACATATGTCCTACTCTGGAGGTGTGAGGGCTAAAGGTAGAGGGAGCTGTTCACTGGAGTGAGTGCCCTTGGGCCCTGTGGTGTGGTGAGACTCATGGACTGGCAATGGTCTGTCTGTCAGGGAAGAGCTCAGCCCTGGCATGGTGAGTGGAAGCAGCATGGAGGCCTCACCATGCCAGGCCTCAGGGAGCTGGCCTACATGGTCTACAGCCTTGGAACTCCCTCCGAGTTCGTGGGTTGCTGGTCTTGGAACCTGTTTCCTGCCTCAAGGTTTAAGGCCCCAAGAAGATTGCAAATGGCATCCAGAGGAATTGTTGTGATCTAAGAGGACTGCTCACCCCCACTGTCTATTAGCGGGTACATTTGAGGTTGGGATAAAATTCTCATCATAGAAAGATGATTGAATAGGAATTCTTGCACAGTTTGGGGCCCTATAAAAAGACTTTTCGTAATTAGGGCAGGAGGGCATTATATTCAAGAGCCACTCACACATTCACCAGGTAATTACTGAGTGTCTCTTATGTGCATGGCATTCTTCTAGATGCTTAGAATAGAGCAGAAGAGAAGAGTCAAAATCCCTGCCTTCATGCAACAGTTATTCTATCACAGATTTGAAGGACGGCAGGCAGCTTTAGACAGCATCTTCTCTGTGGTGTTTCAGAAACCAGATTCCATAGCTATTCCACTTGAGGCACGTATCCCCAGGGAATGTCCAAATATGTGCAAGAGATAGAAACAATGAGGTTCATTGAACCTGTTCATAATAGGGACAGTTGCAAACAATCTAAATGTTATTAGAGAAAAGAATAGATAGAGGAGGTTTGCTTATTGCACAGTGTTCAAGTCCAGTGGCATAGTGTGGGGACTCTGGTGCCACACTTCAGGCTTTTATCCAACTGTCGCACTGACTGGCCTTAACTTCTTTATGTGTAACATGGGGATTTATAACAGTACTTGTTTCCCAGGCCAGTCTGAGTGTGCGGTACACAATAAGCATGCACCTAATAAATATTAGCTCTCTTTATTTTGTGGATAATAGACTAGTAAGTAGCAGTTAGAAGGAATGAACTAAGGCTATTATCAACATGAATCGACCTAAAAATGTAATGTTCCTTCATTTTTTTCATTCAACAAGTATTTATTGAGTGTCTACTATGTTCCAGGCAGTGTTCTAGATACTTGGGATTCACCAGTGAACAAAACAAAGATCCTGCCCATGTGGACCTTGTATGCCAGAGGTAGGGAAATGATGTAAAGTATAAGAAAATTCTATGTGATGGTAGGAGGTGATAAGTGCTGTGGAAAAAGGATGGGGGAGCACCGCTAAAGGTGTTTGGTACTGCTGGGTTAAGTTGGGGTGTAGATTGAATGCTAAGCCAACAAAACAAACAGGAGAAAATGTTAACAATTATTAGCCACAGATGGTAGGTAGATAGGAGTTTTTCATGTTAATTCTTGTATCTTTCTCTATTTTCAATTTTTATTTCTCAAAAGTTCCTGATATGAAAGAAAAAAGATATAAACAGGAACCAGAAATATGAAGGGAGTTGGTTAAGAAGCCAAAAAAAAAAAAAAATCAAGAAGGAACAAAATGAGATATAAATATATTTTTAAAAAAGAATCTAAAATGAATGTTGGAATTTTAAGGTCCATTAAGAGATAGAGATGAACAGAATCACAATGCAGAAAATCAAACTGTAATATAGAAGACAAATGTGAGGATAAATACCATCAAATATAACCAAAATAAATGCAGCCAAAGCAGTAATTACAAATTGAGTGTAACAGAACATTTATTTCTGAGTTGAAGTCTCAGAAGTGATGAAATAGAAATTCAGTGTGCAGATGTACAGACAGAACTGTTACAAAGCTATTAATTACTCTTTCTTGTTTGGCAGCCCTATCCTGTTGGATGGAGCGATGTGCTCAATTGCAAAAGTACAGTGTTCAAGACTGCCTTGCCTCTTACTGTCACGAGAATACCATGTGGAGGCTGGAGCTTCAGTGGCACCCCCTAAGAATGGGCTGGGGTCCATATTAATCATGGAGTTGTGATTCCAGTTCTGGATTCTACCTCCAGATTTTTTACATGTGAGATAGATGCATTCTAATTTTATTTAAAACATGTACTTCTGGGGTTTCTATTCAGTACAGTCAAACCCTCTTCTAAGTAAAACAGTGTTTCTAAAAAACAAAAATTATATATATGCATGCATATATATACACACACATAAAAAATTGAAAGGCAGAGAGACAGAGATCTCTTATCTGCTGGATCCTTGCCCAGACGTCTACAATAGCTGAGGCTGGACTAGGCTGAAGCCAAGAGTTTGCAGCTCAATCCAGGTCTTCCACATGAGTGGCAGGGACCCCACTACTTGAGCCATTATCTGCTGCTTTCCAGGGTGTGTATTAGCAGGAATCTGAAATCTGGAATTGGGTGCAGAGTGGGGACTTGAACCCATGCATCCCAGGCAAGGTCTTAACCACTAGGCTAAATGTCTGCCCTTGAAACAAATTTTACACACTGGTGTCCGTGGGAGAAAAAGACGGTAATCCCATAATGCCCCGCCAGCCAGGTGGAGAATATGTGCAGACAAGAGGAAAGGCGGAGCTCCACGAGAGCTCACATCTTCACAACGTGCGCAGCGCCCCTCTGCCTGCCCTCTGTGGAGACCTGGCTGCGAGTCTGGCAGCACCGTCCCCAGCTGGGCAGAGGTGCACCAGTCAGTGAAGCTCAACATGCCCTGGTCTCTTTATCTGTAAACTGGAGAAAATATTACAAATTTCATAAAATTGACCAAGTTTAAGGAGAGGTGCTATGTGCCAGTATCTTTATCTGTGCTTAGCATTCTTGAGAGGAAAAGAATGTATTAGAAGACAACTTCAGCCAACCATGAGAACAGTCTAAGACAACCAGGGGATATGCTTTCATTTGATATTGTTCAGAAATGGCTCTCCACCAAAACAAGAAATTAAAAGTATAAATTTTATAAAGGAAAGATTCACAGCTACTGCATATAATCAAGAAAGTAAGATATTGGGAAAGAAGATAATGAAGAAGAATTTACATAGCAAGCTCAGTGAAACAAAATAAAAAATCCAATAACAGGTCTAATTCTAGAGAATCATTTATTGAATAATGAAAAGTATTTGAGAACGATAGGGGATGGATGAATTATTCAGTTTTGGTTTTGGTATAATCAGGTTACCATATGGAAAGAAATCCAGATGAATTCCTAACCAATATCATATACCAACATAAAATGTAGGTGGATCGAGGAGGAAAATGTAATAGAATATACTCATAGATATATTTACATAATTTTGGGGTGAGAAAGACTGTTTGAAATACATCATCAAAGCTATAAATTTGAAAATAAAGCATGAATGCATATGATTAGGTAATGTTTTTTAAAATTTAGACTTTTATGTCTGAGATTATTGCAAACAAAATTAAAAAGAAATTGCTGCAGTCAATAAGAAATTAACAAACCCCAATAAGGGGCTTTATTCATAAAGGATATGAAGTATACTTCATAAAAGAATATTTCTATATGCCCCAAACCCATTAGAAATAATATTTTATTTTGCTGGGGGCAAACTAAATAGTTTAAGTAATAAGTCTACATTGCCATATTATTAAAGATGTCATGGAAGAATACTTTATGAGGTGGGAATCAATTGGTTATGAAAAAATTTGGAGTATGCTCCTTATTATGTTCTTGTTTTTATGTAACAAAATAAGACATAAAAAAGGAAATTGTATATTCTCATATCTATCTCAATTCAGAAAAGAAGGTGACAATACTGTTAATTATTTTGGATGGCGGACTATAGAAAGTTCCCTATTTTGTCCTTTGCTGTTTCAAAAATTTCTGCAGTGCATATGCATTCCTTTACTAATTAGAAAGGAACATCAATATTTAAAAATTATTTATTTATTCATTGATCCATTTATTTACATGAAAGGTAGACAGACCAAAGTGGAGACAGGGAGAGAATCTGGTCTTCTACTGGTTCACTCCAGAAATGCCCCCATCAGCTGGGACTGGGCCAGGCCAAAGCCAGGAGCTGGGAACTCAATCTGAGTTCCTAATATGGCTGGCAGGGACCCAAATACTTGAGCCATCACCTGCTGTTTCCCAGGGTATGCATTAGCAGGAAGCCACATTTGAGAACAGAGTCCAGGTACTCTGATACGGGATTTGGGTGCCCTGAGCAGCATCTTAACAACTAGGTCAAATGCCTGCTCTAGAAAACCAACATTTTTAAAGTTTATGTAGATGAAGACACAAGAGTCGGCTTGAAGAAGTGCCTGCTGGACAAATGTGGGAACAGTTTGAGCATCATGAGGAATAATGGTGAAGCTCTTTTTTTTTTTTTTTTTTTTTTTTTAAACAAGACAATGCTACCTAGTAAACCTAGAATGAGAAAATAAAAATTCCGTGATTTCTAATAAAATACTTGATTCAGGCAGTTATCAGAGAGCTATGAATATCATTAAGGGACACATTGATTACATGGCCTCAGTTTGGCACCCACACATTACTCATTATTACAAGGGCAGTGATGTCCCTTTGTTAATGGAGAGGTCTGGCTGATACCATCTTGTACCCAAGTGCTCCAACTTGGCATGATGGGACAGACTGTTGTGTGCAAGTAGGAGACAGAAACATCACCTTTGCACTTTCCTTCCAAAGATGTCTACCCTGGATCTAGACATTAGGAAACAACCAAACCAAGAAATTGGGGCAATGCCTAGCCAACTGAGCAGAATTCTTCAAAAAGGGAAATCAAAATGGACTTGACAGTTCTAGGTAAAAATAATCATAGGCAGTGTTTGAAATATATTAGTGGTATTTTGAGAACCATTGAAGACATTGTAAAAATTTGAATGTAAAAATCCAACACTAGCTATTGTGAATTAATGTTAATTTTTAGATGTAGTAGTGGAATTGTGGTTATGTAAAAAAATGTTCTCATTCTTAGTCTATGTTGACAAAGAACTTAGGAACAAGGTGTTATGGTATCTACAACTTACTTTCAAATGGTCCATCAAAAATATATATATGAGAGACATAAATGAGGCAAAATGTTACTATCTGGTGGTTACAGATGCAGGGTAGGCAATGTTAATTACACTATTTAAGGAGGTGGGCAACTTAAGACAATGTTTGGCTTCTTGTTTGGCTCCTAATTCAAACAAATCAACTGTAGGGAAACATTTCTGACCCAGCAAGGGAAATGTGAACAGCGATGGGATACTTGACAAAATGACACATGAAGTAGATGAAACAAGATTGGTCATAGCTGGATCATGAGTACCCGGGGATTGTTTATATGATTGTCTACGTTTACATTTTTGAAAACAATCAAGTTGGCAGTCTAAGTTAAAACTACATAGTACTGTTGGACTTTCCAGGGAATGAATGAGTGACTGAATAGAGACCTAAATCGATCTCTGTGGTTCTCTTTGTATTAACTAAAGAGATATACACATGAAAAGTTGTGAAATCCAGAGTAGTACCTGGATTTCTCTTATATTAGTGATTTTAAGTGAATTTGGGGGTGCGTGTGGGGGAAGTGAAGCTTCTGTGGAAGTAATTGTCTTTCTATTTTTTCCCTTTTCTTTTTATTTTCATTCTCTCAATTTTCCTAATGCATGAGGCTCCTGACCACCATAAAGAAAGATAGAGCTGGGGCATTATCCTCATCACTTCTGAAGCTGATGGAATGGTATTTATTGCTTCCACTTAAGTTTGAGAATCTTGAGATTGTTTATTTAATCCGTTTTTTATTTAGCTGGTAGAGTTTTTATTGTCCTACACAGTCAAGATGCTACTGTGGCTGCCAGTGTTGACATACAAGTGAAAACAGATTTTTGAAGGAATGGTCATTCAGGAAGATCAAACAGACAAAAAAAAAAAAAAAAAAAAATCCACTGGAGTTGCAAAGGTGACAGACACCGCTATCTTTGCTGTCTGAGTATTGGGAGGACTGTGCTGCCCACAGTTGGATGTCTTAGGAAATTATGAAAAGTGGTCTTACTTGATACTGGTCCTGAACAAATTAACCTGGACTCTAAAGTAAAAGGTAAAATTTTGCAATCAAAAAGAGAAGTTTTAGTTCTCTAAAAATAAATAGGATTCAAGTGAAACAAAATGTGGATTGGACACTTACACCTTAAAGTCTTTTTAAACAAAACATAATGGTGTATTAACTTCCAATCAACAATCTAACCATAAAGCAGAAAGTGAGTGTAGATAAGGATATGAAAAGAAAAATTTGACTCTGAAGAGGTTGTATAAACAAAGCAAAGCAAAACCAAACATGACAGATTTAACAGGAAGACAAATGAAACCAGATTTAGAAGGGAGATCAAACCTGGAGCCTATAAATAAGCAATTAATAAAAACATTTCAGGACCAGTTTTACACTATTATTTAAGCTTTGAACATAGCTTTCATTATTTCCAGTAAATAATATTAATGAAGGTAATTTAAAAACTGTACAGTGTTCACATATATAAAATATAATTGAAAATGCATACAGTACTACCCTTAGATTTTTTTTCCCCAAGGTATCTTTATAATATTTATTTGCATGGAGGTTAATGGTTTGGAATTAAGTTTGGACTTTTCAGTTGGAGTATCTTTGAAGTCAAATAGATACCCGTATGGAAACTATGAGCCTTTGTTTCATCCATTTCTCTATGTAATTCTCCCTTCTCTCATGCCACTTGCAGGAACTGTGAGAGAGTTAAAGTGGCTACATTTTCCTTGACCCTCTTCCATCATGAAGTTGAAACTCTTTTTTTCCCATCCCTTCAGTGCAGGCCAGCAGTGACTTTGTTTGGTGCTTTGTTTGGTGAACAGAATGTGGTAGAAGCCCAACAGCTTCCACTCATGCCCTCTTGAAGTGCTATGGTCTGTGAGGAGGCCTGGTTAGTCTTCCTGAGCAGAAGACGCCGTCTGGTGTGACAGCCAGCCGGTGGCCAGCGCCAGCAGGCCTGAGAGCGCTGGCTGTGAGCAGGGTGCGCCTCCAGGCAAGACAGGCAGAGTTGCCCGGCTGAGCCCGGCCCAAACTCCTGACCGACAAAATAAGTTCATTCCCTCTTGTGCCCCAGTGAGTTCCCAACACCTGAGGGAACCCATCCTGTGTCTCTTTCTCCGTCTCGCCTCACCTTACACACCCTGCATTTCTTCGAGGATCTCTGACGCTCTGACACTGTGGTTTTCAGACCTTGTGTTTACCTGGTCACTTCTCCAGACAGATTCCAGCCTGCCAAATTCCTCTTTCAATCTGTAGCACTCAGAATTTACCAGTGTTTCAAGTAGGATTTGCCACCTTTTAACACTTAGTGTCTTCATTTTCCCCTTTACTCCCTGGCTCCTAGGAAGCCCCAGAGCCTGAGCTCCCTCTTTCTCCTACCTCCCCAACTCCAACCACCCCCTCCCAAGAGACAACATTTTTTCATTCTTCAAGGTCTAAGTCAAATGTTGTCTATTTTAGGGACTTTGTGTCCTGACCCTGAGTTCGCTCAGAGCTTCCTGTGTTACGCCAGCTGTGGGAGAGGTCTGGCTGTTTGGAGAGGTTGTGAATTCTTGAAGGCAGCTACTTTATATGTGTGCTTTAACACTTTACATAGCGCTGGCACAGTGAAGTGGTCAGTGTTTATAAAGTCGGTGTTTAAAGCATTGGATAATTAACCAGTATTGAAACATATTCTCTTCTGGCCCACAGTTCCCTCCAAAGCTATCAAGAGAGACTATCAGATGCCTGTTTAAATCAACATGCTGTGTTCATTGAATTTTTCTGTGTACCACCACAGCCCATTAAAAAAAATATATTCAGTTTGGAATTACTTTTTCAGCTATCTGTGCTGCCTTAAAAAATACTATTAAGCCTTCTGAAGAATTTTGAGAGCAGTTTTGTTGTCCTCTATTTCCAGAATGTATATTTGCTCATATTTGGAAACTGAGGCATTTGCTTTATCTTTCTCTCATCTCTCATTTTGTGTTTTACCTCAAAGATGACTTTGCAGACACCTTGCAATGTATGTTATTACTAAGGCAGATAAAGAGTGGTTTGGTAAATTTGGTCTCATTATCTAATAAGATAACGGGATTTTATATGTGTTCAGTGCCTTACATCTTATTTCATCTGAGTCATGCCAGCAGTTCTGATTAACAGGTAGAGATTATTATGTGTTTTACAGTTAAGAAAACAAGAAGCGTAGCGAGAAGGCTGCATGCCTGGATAGCGGGAGAGTTCCAGAATTGAAGCCAAGTCTCTCAAAGCCACTTAGGAGCCCGCTCAGTATCTGCTGTTCCACACTGATTGTTTATTCTGTTCTTTCTAGGTTAAGACAATTCTTGATGGAGAACAATAACAAATGAGTTGAATACACGCTTTCTCTTTGCATTTCTTGCCCTGGTTATCATTCTCCAAACTTTTATTCCTCTCAGCTGTTTACTGTCCTATTCTCAGTGTGGCCACGTGGCCATCCTTCCCATGCGCAGGTTCAATTTGGTTAGTTAGTTATGCTGGTGAGTGTGCTAGGGAAGAAGAGGAGGACCTGCCCCGTGTCGGGCACTGTGCTGGGTGCTCTCCGTGGTGTTGGATCATCAGCATCACCTGGCAAGACAGGCGGATTTTCCTCCACTCTTACAGGCGGCAGAGGAAGCTCAGAGACTTCCCCAGCCACTCCCTAGCCTGACGTCCTGCTGCCAAATAGTCGTCCGAGTCAGGACGCCAAGTGCAAACGTCTTCCCTTTGCGGTTATCTGCTACAGAGCTTAGGACACTGTTTAGTTCTTGTGTGCTTTAAAAGGGCACTACGTGGTGATTTTCTTCTTTCTGTGACGTTTTCCTGTTTATGCACAGGATGGTAGAGGTGAAGAAGGCATGGGGAATGTTGGGTCCACCTCTTTCCTTCTCCTGTTGTGCTTTTGTTTTTTTTTTTTTTTTTTCCCATTTGGTTTAGGTCACTGTTAAAATGTAAATGTTACCTACTAGGGTAGCACACACACATCACCTTTATCCCAATTTCACACCTCAGCAAGAACTAGTTTCTCAGATGGGTCCTTACAGAGAGCAGAGCTCCAAGGAAATGGGACCCAGGACAGGTAAGAGTTTAGGGGGCCTGTGGGAAGGGCTGAGCATGGGGCATGGCACTCAGGGGCAGGTTTTGGGAGGGCACTGGTCAGGGGACTGTGGCCAGAAGGAAAGGTAGTCGCCACACCCTCAGCTTAGCCTCAGGGCTTCGTCTTCAGTCTGCTCTGGTTGCTGCAGAACGCAGGTTGCGAGACTGGCAACGTACAGCAGCCACCTCCACCTTCTTACCGTTACGGAGTGATGCCCCCTATTGATCAAAGCATCTCTCTTTTTAAATTCAACTTAACAACTCAAAACCTGGTGGTCTCAGAATTATAAACTGCTAAATATTAGAGATGGAGGGAAATCATTTCTACTGTGACTATGTAGATAATAAAACAATCTCTTTCATTTCTCCACTTTCCAGACAATTGCAGCATGACTTTCCCAGGGCCCTGATTTTCAGCACGGATGATTTTTTCTTCAGGGAAGATGGTGCCTATGAGTTCAATCCTCACTTCCTGGAGGAAGCTCATGAATGGAACCAGAAAAGAGGTGACGAATTCCTTTCCAAACTCCTGGGAAACCCTCTGTGCACACAGGTTGTGGTTGCTGCAGAATGAATAAGTGTTATGGAAGGAGCTTAATCGACAGTTCTGCCATTTCCTCTCCTCCCCCCCCCTCCCCCCCAGCACAGAATGCAAGAGCGTAAATGCCTTAGATTCCAGGAAAAAGAAAATTACTGGTAACGGGTTCTGAAATAGGTGGCAGTGAAGTTGGTAATGAGGACATCCTGTAATAAACATGACAGACGCTCACCCTTCTCTCTGATTGTTGCGTGTTGTTCACTGTTATATAACATTGTGTTGCAGCAAGAAAAGCAATGAGGAATGGCATATCCCCCATTATAATTGATAATACCAACCTCCACGCCTGGGAAATGAAGCCCTATGCAGTCATGGTAGGAAGACGTATCATTCTGAATTTTCAGTTATGGACATTCTGTGAGAACACTGAAGCCTTTGTTCTTTCCTGCTTTTCTGATCTTTCCAGGATTTCATATTTACTAACAATAGTACCCCAGGGAGCAGGGGAAGAGGTTTAATTTTCATGGTTCTCTGTTGTACAATGGCTGCCATTTGCTGAGATGGGAATCTCACTGCAGGGTACGGTTTTTAAATAGTCCTCGGTAAATATTCTTGGTCTGAATTCTTGAGAGCCTTTTTGTCTTGGTTATTTTCCTGAGATGCAGGCGGTCTTACAGAGAAGCACTCAATGAAACTTGCAAAGAAATACTGGCCTAAATGATGGGACCAGCAGTCACAAGTTGTGACAGGGCAGTTATGCCTCTGGCGAGCTGGGGACTTCAGCACTGCCTGCTGGGGCTGCCTGGAAATTCAGGACAACAGAATTGTTAAAAACAGATTTAGTGTTAACACTGTGATCCTCTTAACACAGAACATACGTATACGTACAACAGCTCAGCTCTCCATGGTGGCCCATTTTCAGACCTACTTTGCCTTATACTAATGAAATAATTTTTTAAAGATTTTATTTATTTGAGAGGTAGAGTTAGAAACAGAGAGCGAGAGAAGGAGGAAGGTCTTCCATCTGCTGGTTCACTCCCCAAATGGCTGCCAATCCCAAGCCAGCAGCCAAGAGCCTCCTCCAGGTCTCCAACGCAGGTGCAGGGGCCCACGGACCTGGGCCATCTTCCACTGCTTTCCCAGGCCGTAGCAGAGAGTTGGACCAGAAGTAGAGCAGCTGGGATGCCGGCACTGCAGGAGGCGGCTTTGCCTGCTATGCCACAGCACTGGGCCCCTAAATAAGTTTTCATTCCCTATTGAGTACAGAAAAGGAGAAAAGATCCAGAAACACACAAGGCGGGACAGGAAGCAGACATCTGAGAATTCCAATTGTGTCACACATAGTAATCTTCACTTGTAGTTGTGAAGTGAGTGTCTCCCAAACTGGGCTCATGCAGTCGGCTTTGGCTCCTTTTCACGTTCAGTGCAAGACAGCGCACCCACAGTCGTCTTTCCCAGTAGCGTCCCCAGTTCCACCCAGGCCCGGGCTGTGGGACCCTGGAATGTAAGCAAGGCTGAACTTCAGCTGTGTCGGTTACTTCAGTTCACGACTGAGCCTTCACCTGGGGCACACACAGGACCAGGGGCTGAGCAGTCGATGAATTCAGGCACAACCCAAAGCCAAGAGTCAGGAGTGTGAGTGAGAGTGGTTGAAGGGAAATAATTTTACTTTTATATTTTGGATATGTACAATCCTTTTCAGCCACATATAGTTATTAGACTCAGAAATTGTGGCTTCTAGTCGTGACATTTGAAGCATTCTCAATTAGAAATGTTCATGCAGGGGCCAGTGCTGCGGCGTAGCGGGTAAAGCCGCCGCCTGCAGTGCCAGCATCCCAAATGGGCACTGGTTCGAGTCCCAGCTGCTGCACTTCTGATCCAGCTCTCTGCTATGGCCTGGGAAAGCAACAGATAATGGCCCAAGTCCTCGGGCCCCTGCACCCACTTGGGGGAGACCCAGAAGAAGCTCCTGGCTCCTGGCTTTTGTCCAGCCCAGCTCTGGCCGTTGGGATCAATTGGGGAGTGAACCAGCGGATGGAAGCCCTCTCTCTCTCTGTCTCTCTCTCTGCCTTTCCTCTCTCTGTGTAACTCTTTCAAATAAATAAATCTTTACAAAAAATGCTCATCCAGAATGAAATTGTTTTAAATGTACAATAAATAGTGATAATAGAAGGTTCAGTTTGAGACATTCAGTTTAATTTATGAGTGCAAAGAATATTTGGGTGTTCTGTGTTTATATGAAAACTCTAATAGTTTTCTACCCTCAAGAAAATGGCCCAGTGCACTGAGCCAAACTGTACTGCAGCTCTGGGAGGGCTACTTTTGGAGGGAAGATTACACCACATGTAGGAAGAACTTGCATTTCATAGGCGCTGTTCTTATTGTATTCTGGCTGTCTGAACCAAGGCTTGAGGGACAGGAGAAGGCGTCTGACCCCAGTCAACCTACCAGACTCACGTAAGGGACTCTGAGGAGTCAGAGTCGAGCTTACACCCGTGGTCAGGATGTTTTAAACCAGTTATCTAATTTTAAAGAAGTCCAAAATAAAGAACTTTTTACCATCTTCCTACATACTAGATAAAAATGACTAAAATTGGCCATTGGGAACCATAATATATCCTGAGAGTGGCTAAGTAGGGGAATCAATCAATTGCATTTATTAAGAGAAATTAAGGTTGGTGGATTACTGGTAAAACAAAAGGAACATTAGGAAAGATTTGTAGTAGATGTTAAATGGCAGCATAAACATTCCCAAACATACATACCATGTCTTCAATGTTTTATGTACTTTTGAAAAATCAGGCACTTGAGAATAACTATGAAGTTATATTCCGAGAACCTGACACTCGCTGGAAATTCAACGTTCAAGAGTTAGCAAGGTACTTCTTTGCTTTTCTAGTTGCTCATTATGTATCCTGCTATTTTCAGGTATTTCAGACCGAACAAAAGAATCTTTTCAGGCTGGAAACGGACTGGTAGTTTTCAGGCCAGAAATGGTAATTCTTGGAAATTGGTAACTTTGAAATTATTCATGTGAAGACTTTAGTTCTGGGTCAGTTTTCTAATATAATGCTAAATGCTAAATCTTGGCTTGACTTGGTCCTTTACAAAGGACACATGTAACATTCTGCTGAAATGCTTAATTAATGAGCATTTGAAAATACTTTCCTCTGCATGGGACTGCACATGTCGATGGTGGTTTTACAGTTAGGCTAAAGATCTTAGATGCTGAGCAGTCTGTGGTTCATTTATGGTTTAAATGCTGCTTCTAATTTGCAAAGCAGTACATGTCCAAGTATTACTAACTTGTTGATTGAATGCATGGGTTCTGCTACTCACTGCCTGTGTTGTCAGTGATGGAGTAACTGTGAGATGAGAATTTACTTTTTGGGAGTATGGCTAGTTCACAGTGTTTCCAAAGTGGGGCCCTGGGCCACCCCCATCAGAATCACTCAAGCTGGTTATTGAACCCTGGTTTGTGGACCCCATTCTGCAGGTGGACTCTCCGCTAATCACAGTCTAACTACATCCCCAGGTAGTTGTTTTAATAAGCATCTTGTAGCAGGATCAGGGACTGATTGCTTTCAACTGATGATAGGAGGGAGCCTCAATTCGTGGACAGTGGAATTAAAAGACAGATTTCCCACCGACTCTGAAACTTCCTTGCATGTCACTAACAATCAAATAGATGCTAAAAAAAGGTCTCAGGGTTTCCTTTGGGGTCCTGAACCAGTAACTGAGACGACCAGCAGGGAAGCATTTCTGAGGCTTCGGTTCCTCACCAGCTTCGGGGAGTGTGGGGGTGGACATCGCAGTGTGCAAACCAGGGGTGGCCCCTCAGAGATACCTGCCATTGTGTTCTTGTCAGGGCCGAACACTGCGAACTGAGAGTGCAATAATATAGGACTTGTAAAACACAAGTAACTCATTGGGATGCCCTGCCTTGACTGAACGTTTGCATTTTTTCCTCTAGAAGAAACATTCATGGAGTCTCAAGAGAAAAAATACACCGGATGAAAGAACGGTATGAACACAATGTTACCTTTCACAGCGTGCTGCAAGCAGAGAAGCCAGGCAGAATGAGCAGAAACCAGGACAGGAACAGCGCCTCCCCTTCCCCTGGCGCGCGCTACTGGCACTCCTACGCCGAGCTCCCGGCGCGCAGGGCCCCCGGCGCCTTCACGCACCAGACCTCCTATAACAGAAGGGGCCGCTGTCACCACGGATACTGAAGGCCCACCGACAGCCACTCAGAAGTGTCCTCAGTTTGTATCTCCACTTCTGGTACTTCCTCTGCGTTCCGTCTTAGTCAGAGCTCTATTTCCAGTGTAAATAGTCCAGCCCAGGTTCGAGCAGAGGCCGCCTCTTCATCTTCAACACGCACCTGCTGAGGGGTCCTGCTCCCGCGGTCTGATGCTGGGCATCCTGCAGATGGCTTTAAGGGAAGTGGCTTTCTCTAGGGAAAGAACTAATTTTAAACTGGAACTTGAGAACATTCCCAAGGACATAATCAATTAGTTACACAGATTCATAAACAAAGTATTTATATTAAATATAGGCTTCAGTACCAAATTTTCTTTATAATTTATTTTTTCAGAAAACACATCTCCATAGGGAAAGTTGGGAAAGTGAGAGGCAGGAAGTTTTAGTGCCACTGCTACTTTAATAATCTACGTATCCAAAAATGTGAGATGTGTGACTGATGATGACACTGATTTTCCTTTAAAATGAACAGGCTGGCAAGTGTCTGTCTAAGGGAACATGTCCTCGGAAGCAGCAGCTTGGGAAGTGATCCCTTTATTCTAATGACGTATCGTTTCTAGAAATGTTCGTCAACTCCGCAATAGCGCTATCTATATAAACAGCTGATAAAAATCAATGTCATTATTTAAAGTCACCCTTTTGTGTTTTAACTACCACTTTATTAAACCAGATTCAACTTGAATCTTTTGGCTGTTGTGCTAAGTGTAAATAAAACAAGCCTGCCTTCATAAAACACCAGTTTTTAAGAGGAGTAATTGATTTCTAACTTTAGGCCAATGAACATCTGTAATCAGTCTGCAGCTCAAACGTTTGGAGTATAACGATTTAACAAGATATAGTTAATACAGGGATATGAAAAAGCCATGCTCACTTTAAGATGAGCAAGTCTTGATGTTTTATGTAGCATTAAGACAGTAAAATTCCACCAAAGCTCTGGAATGTCCCTGTTACATGACACAGAAATTATATTTCCAAATTCCAACAGATTGGAATTAATTTGATGTGAGACCATGATAGGTAAGACCAGGTGAAGTGTATGCTTTATTTATCGGTGGCCAGCAGCTTCTTTCTAATGTTTTGTGAAGTATGAAGTGTCCTATCAAATGGTGCTTTTATGGTTATTAAAAATTGTATATGGTAAATTGCATTTATATGGATTTGTCAATAGTTTTTTGTTCAACAACAAATTAATTATCTAAATCCCAAGGAATTCAAACATAACATCCAGTGATTCTAAAGCAAGCTTATTTCCTAGTCTACTTTAAAAAAAAAATAGGAGGCCTAAGGGTTAAGACACAAACAACCCTTTATTTACTGTGTCCACTAGACTGTCTTAGCATTCCAGTATCTAACACTAGTGAAATTTACTCAGCATGACTACCAGCAGTGCCTCTGTAATTTTTTATGTCATGAACATTTAAAAAATTAGTGTATCTACTTTGAGTAACAAAGTTAGTAGCCTGAGAAATAAATCTGAATCTAAGGTATTGTCACAGTTAGCTAAATATGTGTCTAAGTACAGCATACAGTAATCTTAATACTCCAATGTTCCAAACCCAGGAAATCCTGGGTATCTTATTTATTGCAGAACCAGCTCAAATCTAGATTAGTTGAGGGGATACATGACAGGGAGCCCAAATTACACTTTCCTTTGATTCCATGAGAGCAGGCTAAGGGCCAGATTCAAGTCCTAATTTGGCTGGCTCTCTGCGTTGGGTTTTTGGTTCATCCAAGCAGAGTGAAGTGACTGAGTTATAAAGTTTTTATACAGCTTTGAAGGCTAGTTTCCACCTGGCCAATTTATGCCTTCTCTTTTCCTGGATGACCCCTGAAATAGATGGTTTGGAAGCATAAAAATATTTTATGGGGTTGGTGCTGTGGCATAGCGGATAAAACCACCGCCTGCAATGCTGGCATCCCATATGGGCGCCGGTTTGAGACCGGCTGCTCTACTTCTGATCCGGCTCTCTGCTATGGCCTGGGAAAGCAGTAGAAGATGGCAAGTCCTTGGGCCCCTGAACCCACGTCGGAGAACCAGAAGAGGCTCCTGGCTCCTGGCTTCAGATCGGCGCAGCTCCAGTTGTTGCAAACAACTGGGGAGTGAACCAGCGGATGGAAGCCCTCTCTCTCTCTCTGCCTGTCCTTCTCTCTCTGTGTAACTCTTTCAAATAAATAAATAAATCTTTTATAAATATTTTATCAAATGCTACCAACATTGATCTTTGTTTCCCGGTCAACACCCATGGTTTCTGACATAATTTCTGAATACTCAGTATTGAGTTATATTGCTTTGTTTGCATCATTCATCTCCTTGGCAAGTGCTCTTACACAACAGGTTCCCATTAACTGGTGAATAAATAACAGAAACTGCTTTTACCACTTACATTTAGTATACGCTGTTCATGCTCATTACATTATCACTTTCTGTTTGGCTTGGACATTACAGCGTATATATAGTAGTGTGTTTATTTTGATCACTGTGTTGGAACAAGTAGATTTTTAAAAGCATTTCTTAGTTTTGAAACATGCTTATAACTATATTTTAAAACACTATATGAAGACACATGCTTGACCTAGCAGTGAGAAGCCCAGATCCTGTATCAGGGTGCTTGGGTTTAGTATCTGCCTATTTCCTGATTCTAGCTTCCTGCTAATGAGAGACCTGGACTGAGTTCCTAGATTTGGCCCCAATGAAGAGAAATGAGTGGTCTTTAAAAAGTATGTGGAAATAAGTGCTTCTTCATGCAATTAGCTCCTAGTTAGAACTTTTACTTTATTAAACATGAGAAAGTAATAATTGAGAGTATCATCTTGAATTTGTCTTCTACCTTAGTGGTAGTTTAGAAAGGAATAGTTCTGAGTTCTGTCAGTGCTAAAAATAAAGGAGGCAGAATCAGTGCTAATCTGAAAGCAAGAAAACTATATGAAATCTGCCTCTGACCCAAAGTATTTGAATTTTTAATTGAAATAATTTCAGAGATCACACCCTGGAATCATAAAAGGGAGTTACACTGACTTAAGGATGAAGAACACGTCAAGTGAAAACATCACTAACATCACGTTCATCTTGACTTTGGCGCAGGATGAACTATCGCAGAATCAACAAATGCATTAAGGAAAACTATTGCATGGTGAATAAAGCTAAAAAAAAATCTCTAAAATGGGAACAGGGATTACCTGAGTCAGAATGACTACTTGGAATCTGCATTTAATCAATGACACAATCTAAAAGAATATGTTTATTTAGCTTGAAAATAATACTTGTAGTGATCAAATCCAATCATAAATATTTAAAGATTTTCCTTCTTGATTAGTTAATAAATATACAGTTAATTTTAAGGTATACAATAGAAATAAAAGTATACCAACATGTAATCAGGCAGAGAGCATCCCTATGATATACAAACACTCAGGTAAATTTGAAACTACTTTATCTTTCCTTGTTATGTGAAGATGTGTGGTTTGAAATTGTATGTCTTACAGCCTGGAAAGGTTAAGAGTCAGCAGGTGATTGTCACTTTTGTTTTTGTCGCCTTTGCAATCTTTTAGATAGACTTTTTACTGTCCTTGTGTCCTTCCTAGTAGTCTCACATTCTTCTGTACCAGCCTGGTGATCTTCCCGTTCTTTGTTGAGAGCTGTAGCAGAAGGCCTTTTGGGCCCGGGATTACCTTTTGAGCCGGTGGGAACAGTCCTAGTTGATTCGCTGACCAGCTGACTTTCTCCTGCTGAGCCAGACCAAAGAGCTTGGGTATTTATTAATGCGAGCTCTTCATCAGCTATTGAGTCACTTTCCAGAAGTGAAGTCTCACTGAATTTCTTCAGTGGAGTCATTTGAGGAGAAGACAATTCTTTTTTCTTTACAGGTGTTTCATATTTGGTGCCACAACTCCGTGGTGGCTGAAATGCCTTCTGTGCAGCCGGTGAAACAAATGTACAAATGGGACTAACATGTGGAGGTAAAGGCAGTCTACCCAGAAAATCCAAGGCTCTTCTTTTTTTGCAGGTTTTTGGGTCATCAGCCTCTTTCTCCCCTTTACAGCAAGATTTTGAAGTCATTTGGGCAGACACAGATGTGGGAATAGACTTCCCTTTTGGTGTACAAAGTGATGAAGGACTGGGATAAATTATGTCACTAACAGGAGAAGACATCTAAAAAACAGGTTGAAAAGCCTATCACAATTATGTACTAATCTCTAAAACAAATAAAAATTAACTTTTCATTAAACACATATATACCATCTACACTCTCATTCCTTTATTTGCTAATAGGTTACATGATTTCAAGAAACATATTATTCCTATCTCAGAAGGAAATAATTGTTTTTAGAAGGAAATAATTTTGCATAGAGGATATAAAAATGACACAAAGGGGTGGGTGTGTGGTACAGCAGGTTAAGCTGCCTCTTGGGACACCCACATTCCATATAGGAGTGCCTGGCTAGAGTCTTGGCTACACCACATTTCCGACCCAGCTTCTTGCCAATGTGCTTGGGAGGCAGCAGATAATGGCCCAAGTATTTGGGTTCTTGCTACCCATGTTGAGACCTGGATGATTCCTGGCTTCTGACTTTGGTCTGCCTAGCCCTAGCTGTTGCAGGCATTTGAGGAGTGAATCAGCAGACTAAAGACCTCTCTCTTACTCTTTCTATGTGTCTCTCTCCCTCTCCCTCTGCCCTTCAAATAAATAAATCTTTCTTTTTAAATTATTTGAAAGGCAGAGCGAGAAGGAGGGACAGCAAGATCTTCCATCTGCTGGTTCACTCCCCAAATGGCTGCAATGGCCAGGGCTGGACCAGGCTGAAGCCAGGAGCCAAGAGTGTCATCCGGGTCTCCCATGTAGGTGCTGCAGCCCAAAGACGTGGGCCATCTTCTGCTGCTTTCTTTCCCAGGCACATTAGCAGGGAGCTGGACTGGAAGTGGGGCAGCTGGAACAAGAACTGGTGCCCATATGGGATGTTGGCATTGCAGGCAGTAGTTTAACCTGCTGTGCCACACACCAGCCCCCAAATAAATCTTAAACAAACAAAAAAATCCCAAGATATGAAAAGAAAGGAAAATGAAGAGTAATCATAGTAAAAGACAAAAAAAATCATTAAGCTTTAATGTTTTTCACTACTAATAAGTTAAAAAGAGGTAAGCATTTTAAGAATACACATTGGCTGAGTTCTAATATTTTTTCTAGTATTTTTCTAGGTTTGTGTCATTAGGCGACTGCTTAACTTCTCTCTATGTCATAGTCTTCTTATCCGTGAAATGGGTATAAGAAACTTCATCTCACTGTACTGTTGTGAAGACTGAATGAGTTACTATACTTGTAGATATAGTGTTAGTTATGTAGCCAATATCAGAGGCTTTAAATTTATTTGCATCTATTGTGATGAGTTAAACGGAACTGAGAAAAAACACTAACTGTATGGAATAGTTCTAGCAAAAATTAACAGGCTAAAAGAGCTTTTCAGTCACATGTATTTGGTATGATGAAAATGTAAGTGCCTATTTGTTCAACTGCCTCCAGAGTTTTACATTCTTACTGCAGTAATTTCCAAATAAGCTATACCTATAGGAGCTGCGTAACAACCACAGTTCCTAAATAAGTTCAATTACATTTTATCATGTTTATTAGGTATCCACCAGAATATATTTTGTCTCTATACAGAACAGTTCTAATACTCCTTAACTTAACATTACAAACATTAACTTACCAGAAACTTACTTCCGATACCAAGCATGGTTTGAGCAGCATATGGCTCTGAAGTATACTCTTTAGTTGGGGTAGAACACTTGGGAATATTTACATTAAGTATATGCATAAGCTTCTTTTCTGCCTCATTGCAAAACATAACAATATTCTAAGAAAACAAATTGAAAAAGCTGTTCTGTAATTTGCAAATCTACACATTTATATTTTCAGAAAGTATTGCCGTTAAAACCAGAAATAAAAAAATTCAGATCAGAACAAAAGAGAGATATCCAAAACTTGATAGCAGCTGTCTAACATGCCAACGTAAAATCAGCATTAGTGATTTAGGGGAATTAGCTGTTGGGTGGGGGAGAGGAACAGACAGAGTAGGAGGGAGGAGCAGGGGAAGAGGGAGATAGAGAAGGAAAAAGATGAGAGACTCCCAGTCATTTGTCTGAATCAAGTG